ATCCTCACTAGGGTCCTTAAATCCTCGCCCTAGATTACTGTAGGTCGACCACTTCCGAAACAAAATTTCACAAACGGTATCAATTATCAATGTATGGAGTACTAAATTCTCTATTGATCGATATATAGTGTGTCTCACTTTTCATGGAAAAACCCACGTTATTTCTGTAATTATCAAGGTAGAATGATAAAACTCGCAGGGTTGATGAAAATGCTGAAAATAAACTTAACTATGGGGCAAAGTAGACTGAAAAATCCAAATTTATCTCACTTTTCATGGAAGCACCCCCGTAATTATTGAGGAGTGATGGGAATATTGAAAATTCACTTACCGGATCAGTAGTGTTGCAATGGAACTGCCGACAAAAAAATTTGAAATATAATTCAACACCAATCAGAAATCTCAATTTATTTATATTAAAATTGAATTTGATTTCTTCTTGACGTTTCGTAAATTAGCATGAGTTCGTTCATCACAATAAGTAACACAATAAGAATTCCCATGCACATCCTTAGGGTTTTAGTAGGTTTTCTTGATGTTTATTACCCAAATCTAGAACATTCCATTTGATTGATTGTTTTTCTTTTTTTGTAATCTATCTGAAATTGCATATGATGTATTGGAAACTTTTTCTATTGCTGGTAAAATAAACATATAGTAAGATGATTTCAATTCCAAAAAGTCATTTGGGTTAACAATCTATTTTCCAATGTTCATTCATGTTTCGAAATTATTTTAAAATATTTAACAAACAACAAGATATTGCTCATATTTGTGTGTTTCACATGTTATATATTTTTTCTATAATCACTAACATTTGAGACGGAAATATGTGATTTTTATCGAGAAATTGTCAACTTCATTACCCAGAAAAAAATATATTTTTTCCCAAAAAAACATTTTCAGTGGATATTTCCGTTGGTGAAATTGATTTATTTCCGAACTGGGAGCCCCATAAGCTAATGCTCAGATTTTATTATTATTCTCCATCAGAAGTATTGGTTCAGGGGAAAAGTGTTTTTAGTATATCCTTCAATTCCGGCAAATCCACGTGTTGCTTCCAAGAAAATTGAGACATATTTGGATTTTCCAGGGCTGAATTTTTTTCAGAAAAAAGGAGTACCTGTGTAATTTGGGGATTCCTATCACGAATTTGCCCCCTAGTATGATTTACCGTAAAAATGGGTTCTTTCATCGCAACTGACGGACAGTGTATATCACTTAGGCCATCATCATTTAGCCGGTAAGAGTATTTTTAGCATTTTCATCATTCCATCTTGATAATTACTGAAGTTACGGGGGTGCTTCTATGAAAAGTGAGACACATTGTATACCATGACACAGTAGAATACATAGTTATTTAGATGTAGAGCTACAAAAACGCATGACATTGAAACGGACAACATTTTTGAAACAACCTTATATTATTAATCATAACATAATCTATGAGTATTCAATCGTGAGTGGTTATCAATAGAAATTTATGAGTATTTAACCTTATATTCAGGTAGTGTGAATTGGTTTTCTATCCAGACCAAACAATTGTTTTAGTATATTAGCTTGGTATGTTTCAAAAATATTCATTTCATTCTTGAATTTCGATAATGACTCATTAATTCGGGTTTTTGAATTTCTCAAAAATCAATTCGTATTCTCACCGGCTCCTACTTTTTTGTTCCTCATGAATTCATCCAATTTATTCAAACACCCCATAAATAGCCATGCATCGCCCTTGCTTTCATCAGTGTTTCGGAAACTTCCAGAATATCCCGCAAAGAAAAGAAATACAATGTCATCATTTGTAATGCAGAGAAGATATTACTTGCGAAAGCGTATCATCAGCGTCAGTTGCTTCCACTTTTATAAACTTCCCTGAAGTAGTTTGTTTTTGTATATGCCGCTTTTAGTCTGGTTCACGAATGCAATTTCACAAGATTCGGATTTGCTTTCACAGAAAATTTTGATGTAGGTACCATTTGATTCAAAAAATTCTCTTAAAGTAATTTACGATTCGAGCCATGTTGTGCAAATAAATAATTGTTTTTTTGCGAACACCTCTGATACTGTTGAAGACATTCAAACTTTAAAAAGCAGATTTTCCCGTCGTGGTATTGGGAAAGATCGTCAATGAACTCCCACCAGTATTTTGCAGACTTTTCAACCTGTCTTACAAAGAAGGGGTTTTCCATCTTGTTGAAAGGAAGCCTATTCCCGAAAAGGGCAAGAAAAAACTTCCAAATAACTGTAGACCAGTCGCTTTGATATCAGTGATATCAAAAATCATGGAGAAAGCCGTAAACCATTATATCCTTGAATATTTGGAAGGCTTCAACATCTTGAGCGGTCATTAATATGGTTTTAGGAAACAAAGATCAACTGGCAACCTTCTATTGCATGTCACCGATATTTGGAAAAACCCAATCGAGAAACATGGGGAATCAGGAGCTGTTGCGCTTGATATTTCTAAGACCTTTGACCGTGATGAGGGTTTGCTGGCCAAACTTCGATGCTATGACTTATCGGATCATTTTTGTGTTCTGACTCTCCAGCTTCCTGAAAAAACCTTCCCTGCAAGTGGCTGAAGGTAGATAATTCTCGAATGCTTCAACCATCAACGCTGGTGATCCCCAGGAATCCATATTGTCTCCAACCCTCTTTTTATTGTACATCAATGAGAAAACTAGCGACAGCACACTTGTCTCGTCATTCCATTTGGATTTCAAAACATCGAATGCGGATACACATCTTCACCGGCAGCAGGAGATTGCATATCTCAATGAGGATCTAGAGTTGATTTCGAATTAGGGTGAAAATAACCAGGTTCGCGTCAATGCCACAGAAACCCAGGCAGCGGTTTCCTCCAACAAGATAAACGTCTCCAAACCGGATATGATAATGTTAGGGCAGACAATTTCGCGTTCTGCTTCGATAAGTGTGCTATGGGTTGAAATGGATACCAATATCTCTGGGCATCTTCTTCGGAGAATTGTTGTTATGTTTGGAGCTGCGCCTCTAAGCATACCCTGAAGCTGCTGGATCTTATCCATAATTAAATATCTCTCAAACCATTCGTTTTTGCTGGAACTGATTGTTCATTTTGACTCAAGTTTCATCTATTTGCCTTGCAGTGGAAGCTGAAGAGAAAAACAGAGGACGATTCTCATTTTGTGATACAAATCTCAAGGCTTGACTTTTGGTATTCGTGGATTGAATCTTCTATCGATTCTATAGATGATAAGACAGATGATAAGAAAATATATCATCGCCTCTTCATAACTTGGCTGGAATTGTAGATCACTCAAATCGAATGACACCTTGATCATGATTTTCTGTGGAGGTTCCTCAAATTGTGGACTGGACTATCGTCTAGTTGATGTAGTCTCATTTTTATATGAGGGTTCACTCGAATTTATCTTTTGATATGTCTGAATTTGCTTTGCAGTGACTGTTTTTTGTGTTTTCCCTTCATGGTAATCTACGATTTTCATGGGAAAATATCGTTGAAATGTAGGAGAACAGCAGAGATACGTAAAGTTAAAGATAAAAACGAAAATTGGAAGTATGGAACAAATTCCTAGGAGTTTTTGTAAGGGTCACGTAACAATGCATTTCTGGAAAAAAATAACACATATAACGATACAGTTTGATATGTATTTGCCGGGAAAGTAGTTGTTTTCCGGCAGGCATTTTCCACTCGGTGAGTTTTCAGTAAAAGCTGATAAAGAATTGATATGCTGCTTCACGGACATACAGTAGAGATTATCACATCTCTATAGAAGCATTGGGTGTTATAAAACACTAAGACACTGAGCGAATTTCGTTGTATACAGTACTATTTATTATCTTGGGAACGAAATCCTCTCCAGGCAATCATTTCAGCATTTCTAATTGTATTGTAAAACGGTTCTTTTGTTTGCTCGAGACTGCTGCCAACCCGAATATAAGAATCCGGAAAAGATCTACCGAAAGCCGGGTCTGTCAATTTATTTAATTTGACTTTGCGAGAGTTTTTGGCTTCTTCAGGGGATTGTCGTTGGAGTTTATCAGAGACCCAGAAAAGTCACAATCCGAATAGATTTTTCTGTTGATGTTGAAGGTATTATTCCGTGTGATTATATCCTGAAAGGCTTTTCTGTTGAGGATGAGGAAATGAATTAAAGGGGGAATATTTTTCTTGGAAAAAACGATTTTTGGCATTCTACTTCTATTTGTACATCATTGAACTGTTGGAAACTCACAAAGAAATGTTTTGAGTACATATTGAATCGGAAAAAGTGATTTTCATGTAGTTCAATGTTCATAGGAAGGTAATTGTTTCAGAAGGATTTTTTCCTTTCATGTAATTCGATATTCATGTGAGAAAAGCTGTTTAAAAAAAGTTTTTTCTGTCAACTTCTACCTGAAAGAAACTGCTCATGATCTACACATCCTTAAAGATATTTTTATTGTAGTTTCTTTGTAAGTTTTTCACTTTTTTGTTCGATAAGGGATTAGTAAAAAAGCCATATTGGATTACTTCTATTTTCAAACTTGTTTTGTTGGTGTTTCTGATGCAGAGATGTTCTTCTCAGAATTCAAGAAAATATATGGTTGAAATTAATTTTTTCATACTTCAATCACTATGATAACTTCCATTGCAATTGGCTAGCTTAATTTAATTGAACTCAATAATTTTTTCTCTCAGTATTCTTGTTGCATTTCAATACTATTACTTTCCTATTTCAACTATGTTTTGATGACTTCAGTAGAATATACCCCTGAAAATTCATTTGATTCGTCATGAATTTCATTTATTTCAGTCAATTCAAAATGGAACTGGAATAGAAACCTCTTTAAAATCTGTTTTCGTTAACCAGCTGTCACTCCCTACGAACGACAACCCTCAGAAGTAGAAACTTGTGCGAGCTAAGGATTAACGAGGCCTTACATTTTAATGTGTGATTCCTAATATAAGTTGGACGATCGCAAGTGAAAAGGTTCTCTAGTTATTTTTTTTTCAGGAAAAAGCCTTAGAGGGTTACTGCCAGAAGGTCCAAGAATTCTGCCCCAAAGTGCCTGGACCACAAGGCCCACCAGGACCAAAGGGTGAAACAGGCCATATAGGAATGAGGGGTTTTCCAGGCATTCCTGGGGATATGGGTAAGATCACAGACAATTTTCATACTTCCTGGTGAGCTAGAACCGAAAACTTTTTTGATATCTACTTTATGAAAACCCTCACAGAAATATATTCTATTTATGTATCAGTTTTTTTATTTCATTTTGATTTTTAGGAAATAGAGGTTTTCCTGGACATACAGGCCCTGTTGGTCCAAAAGGTCTGTTTAATTATTCTTGGTTTCATTTTTCAATAACTTGAGTTCGTGTAATTTTTATAGGAGTACCTGGTTCAAAGGGTCAGAAGGGAGATAAAGGCATGCGAGGTTTGTGTTTTTTTTTAACGGTGTTGGGTTTTTCATTCTTATCTATTAATTCCATGGAATGAACTCTTCTCAGTCATCCTTCATTAATATTTTTTTTAATATTAGCCTGAAATAAAATGCTACTCAAGCCTTGGTTCTGTCATTCATAACCTATAGATGCTACTTCAACAATTGTTAATAAAAAGAAAGACTACAAACTGTTGGAAAAAATCAAAAGAATTTTGAAAATAATGGTTGCACATAAAAACAAAACAAATATTTCACACCATATATCATTTTTGAAACAAACGTACTGTTCAAAAAATTGTTTGCTCGTTAGCAATCAGTTTCGTAGAAATAGTTTTCAATGGAAATGATGATAATAGTAACCGCAGTGCTCACACATTTTTCTGACATTCTAAAACGTTATTCAATTCAATTCGGATATACTTTATTGTCTGAAGAATAAATTCTTATTGACAAAGCCTTGGGCTGAATATAAATAACATATACATGAAATCACAAAAGTAAAATCACTTAAAGTAAGTGACAACATGAACTGAAAAAAGACATGTAAATAACAATAACCTAATACAAACGTTCAGGATATACGAACATGGTCAATAAAATCAAATAAATCAATTTAAACTGAATTGAATTAAATCAAATCGATAAAATACCGTAGATATTACAGTCTTCTCAATTAAAATTATCATCGTAGAATTCTGCTAAGATATAATAAGGTCTCACAGAAAGCATGTCTTTCAACTCTTTCTTAAGAGCTCTAAGGTCATTTACGGTTCATATAGCTTGAGGAAGGTGGTTGAACATTTTGAGACTGTTGTAAATAATGGAATCTTTAACTAAGGTGGAAGAAGGCAGCGGTAATTTAAAGCTTAATCTTTGCCTGGTTTGATACATTGGTGCGTCCAAGTTGTTAAACAATACCCAATTTCTGAAGAGAAGGCAGATTGGAGACCACAGTTAGGATTCTGTTAGAGTCAAAAAAAAGCCGACAAGAGTCTCTAGGCCTTTGAAGGCATGTGGTAAAACACACACCCCAAAAGCAAATACCATAACGAAGATGGGATTCAAAAAAGAAATGATAAACCATTCTCGCTTCTGCAGATCCGAGCTCAAATGCAGTTACTCGTATTGCATAACATCCAGAGGATAGCTTCGATTTCAAAGTATCTACATGTTTGTTGAATTTCAAATTACTGTCAATGAAGAAGCCAAGGAATTTAGAAGTTGGTACGTTGTCAATTTGAATATTATTTGTATGCACGGCTGGAATCTGGCAACGATAGGACACTACTTTTGTTTTCGATAAATTCGAGCTCAAGAGATTTGAGTCAAACCAGTCTTTCACTTTCGTGAAATAACATTCTCAATAACTTCATACAACGTATGGTTTTTAGGAGCATGGCATAAAATTGTAGTATCATCAGCAAATGAAGTAAATTTTCCTTGGATGTTTATAGACGATAGGTCACTAATGTAAATTGACAAAAAAAGTGGGCCCAGTACCGAACCTTGTGGGACGCCGCAAGTAATTTTACCTTCATTTGAGTATGAAGTCGTTTTGACCATCTGGGTGCGATCTGAAAAGTATAACTCAAACCACAGTTGTACCGTATCTACCGAGTTTCCGTAAAAGAATTTTATGACTCACACAATTAAATGCTTTGACTATATCACAGAAGACTGCAGCCACTGTTTTTTTGTCATTTATGTTGGAATAAACATTTAAAGAAATGCAAATATGGCATCGGAAGTGTTTTTTTGCTTTTGGAAACCAAACTGGCAATCACTTATCATTTTGTTTTTATTCAGAAAGCAAATGAGTCTTGTTTTGACTAATTTTTCTATCAATTTAGCCCTTGCATAGATAAGAGAAATTGGACTAAGACTTGATGGACCATTGATGACTTCTTCCTTTGGCAGTGCTAACACAATCGACTTCTTCGAAAAAACTGGAAAGATTCCTTCTCTAAATGAATTATTCATTTGACTAACTAATATATGGAGTATTCTCATCGGAAAATTCTCTAGAACTTTTATAGACATTTCCTGTGGAGTTTTTATTTCTAATGGAAAATAATGTTTCATGCAGTTCGGTAATATTTGTATCATTTAATATAAAGGTGTTCGTAACTTCGATATCGTGAGAATAGAGATAGTAACAGATACTTTTTCCCTCAATCTATTCCTTCATTTATATCCCATGAAACAAATCTACTCATACTATGAATTTCCACAGGAATGATTCCAGTTTTTATTATCTCTGGTAATCGATTATAAATAACAATAACTTGGCTCAATAATGTTATTTTTCAAAAAGATGTGACTTCTCCCCCACCAGTACGACACTGTCTCGATAGTAAATTTTCGAGTCGATAGATTCAAAGGAGAGGTTGTACAGTATGACCATCTGGATTCCCCGATTTCACTCCATTGGACTTTTTTTCATAAAAAAGGATGTAGCCAGCTACTGATCAATTTCGGATGATCACACCATGTTCAATGAATTATTGAGTCCAACTTTCGATAGGGCTGTGACTTTCTGAGGTTGACTGAAGTTGATAATTCCTGAAACTGAAACAATAATTCACAGGAACACCTGGCTTACAAGGGAAAAAAGGAGAACAAGGGCGTCCAGGATTGGATGGACGTGATGGTCTTCCTGGAGAGCCCGGTTTGTATGGTCGGCCAGGCAGAAATGGATATGATGGTGCTGCTGGAAAAGATGGCATACCTGGAAAAGATGGAAGAGATGGTATAAATGGTGAGTTTCTCAAAAATTTTCAAACATTTCAAAGCAGCTAGTTTCACAATAGTCTAGATTGCTGAAGGAATGTGGGTCGTAGATATTAAACCCAAATATTTAGGTGTTCTGTGTATTATCCAGTCTCTGGAAAAACCCAAATTACGAATGTCAAAGATGAACAACGGTGGCTTTTTGCAAAGCCAACATTTGTTTGTTACTCTCCTAGTAACCACCTAGTCACAAATTTGATATTGGTCAGTGTATCCAAACTTTTCAGTATCGAGTTACGGAGTTACGGATTTTCAGTGAAAGTTATAGATAGAGATAGAAAGCGATGTCCGATTATTTCAATTCATTTATACTTGAAATTAACCATTTATTGTCTTGTGGGGATGGGGCCATTCATTAAAAAATCATTAGCATGGGCAATATAATGATTGTTCCTAATTACCTTTTTTTCTGATTGATTCGGCCGTAACTTGATGAAATTCGTAATGATTTGTGTCTATGAGGGATGTAACTCATGAAAAATGAGTTACATCACCAACTTGAAGGTTTTCAAAAATTTTCTACGGTACGCACATTCGAATATGGACGAGATGTTTTTGTATATACCCAGTATTGATTTCTGACATGAACACAATTAGAACAAAAACTCAATTCGAGTGTTGGAAACTGTTAGAGTTCAAGAAACTTTTTTTCAACTTTTTAATTAATTCTCGAAAGTCTTGTTAATTTCTGAAAACGAACTGTTCAATCAGTTTTCGACATTTTCGGCTGCGCTTCAGCATAATTGATTGTTGGTAATTTGTTTCGGCCCGTTTTATCTTTAATTACATTTTGCAACTGGGCGCTCGTTCAAATTTTCAATATCCTGGATGAGTTTCAAACATTTGTTCAAGAACTTCATTTAACGAAAAAGAGTTGTAATTGAATTGAAATTGGGTTTCGATGAAAACTCCAATATACTACAGTTTGAGGTTATGTCGGTGCAAAATTGTGAAATGTAGAAAGTATGTATTTCGAAATTGAGAGTTCTGAGGCGTGTGTGATTTCTAAGAACCAAGATGGAGGGTATTAAGAAGTGCTACCACCAGTATCCACAATTTCAGTTGTGGTTACATGTAGTTACATTTTCTTTGGAAAATTAATATTGCTGCATATTCGAATTTGTATCCTTTCAATTTTTTTATAGGTTGAATACTAAATTTCACTCGCTGAACCATCTGTAGACCTCTTTCATTGAAATTCGATCTCACAAACATGAAACGATAATCAACTGTTGTTGACTTCAAGATCACTTGTTTCCAGGGTTGAAAGGAGAACGTGGTCCTGCCGGCCCCATTGGCCCACCCGGTCAAAGGGGTCTTACTGGTCCGCGAGGTCGTCCAGGAAAACCCGGAACGCACGGAACTCCAGGAATCCCTGGAATCACAGCATGGAAAGTTTCCGAGAAAAATACTACGAAATATCTCATTCCACCTTCAATTGCAGGTAAGAGTTTCTTGACAAATCAGGTTTTTTACTTAGGACCTATAATTAACTTTCAAATCCTTTCCTTCATTCAATCCAGATCTACACTCCCCATTCTCTTTCACTCTTGTCTTATTCATCTGTTCAGCTACCAATGGAGATTCCTTCACATCCTCGCTACTGCTAGATCTCTAAAGTTTGGGTTGATTCACGTCTTCAGTTTTGTATAATTAACGTCTCGGATACGGTTTCGGAGCCATTTCCAAGAACTGAAAAGTATGACTACTTTGAGATCTCAACCTGCCTACTTCTCAGGTAGTGACATGCCTCAAGTGTTTTGAGACTTGAAGCCGGGGTCAGTGACAAGCTTCAAGGGATTGAGACTTGTAGCCGGGGTCTCAACCTTCCTACTCCTCAGGCAGTGACAAGTTTCAAAGGTTGTGAGACTTGAAGCCGGGGTCTCAATCTGCCTACTCTATAGACGTCAAGTCACAGAACCCTAAAAGTGTTTTACTTCTCGGAAAGTTAGCAGATGAAGACCACTCTCCAGTTCTTGAAAATAGCTTGAAAGCCGAAGCTTAAACGTTGAACAACGCATGCTGTTACTAACATCCAGACTCATTATACTTATTTCAATGTAATCCTTATAATATTTGCATTTATCTGGAATATATGTTCATTATTCTGGCTCCAATCTCAGAGTCTGTGTTTATGGAGTCCCTTCCGGACTTCATCAGCAGCCTATCGAACCAACTGCAGGCAGAGCTGATGACTAGTAGAAAGACATTTCTTTCGTTCCGAACGGTCAGAGATTTTTTTTATTCTGAATAGACCCTACAAATCGAATCATCTTAAGGAACAATTCGTTCAGGCCAGCCTCAACTATCTACACTGTAGGTTAATGGACTGACACCTATCAGAAAATAACTATTCCCCTGGCTAATACTAGTTCAGCTTTCATTTTGGTTGGGCTGAGGCCTTCGAAATCAAAGTAATGTACAATTTCTTCATTTTCACAAATTCGCTATTGATGACTGCCGAACAAATACTAAACAACGCAGCGTCTTCAAACTTGAAACATGTGCTTCGTAGATTGTGTACTTTCTGATACAGTGATATTTTTTAAACAACAAAGCCACTGTAAATTCTCATGATTTCACCAAACATATATACTTTTTGTAGCTTTTCGCTCGATACAAGCCATATCGTGGCTTCTTCAGGACCCACGAACTAGCGTTATTGACTATATTTCAAACTATTTCGACTGAATAAATAAAAACGATCGCGTGTGATGTAGAATGCCAGATGATGAGAGCGAATCGTCTGCAATGAGGAAAAAGAGCTTGGCGGTGACATCGCGATATGGGATTTTTATTGATGCGTTCGAATGCCGGAAAAATGAATACCAAAAATTTCATGCCATTTCCTCGGGAAGAACATATTCAATGGCTTGGCTGACGTGTCGTCCTGCGACAGAATTTGGTTTGATTTCAGATTTTAAATTACTCAAAGGGAGGAAAAAACACACTGTTTTCTGATTCAGTTTACTGCAGCTCATTTGCTGATTAACAGTTCAATCACGTGATCTAACAAATGATTGACAGAATGTACCGTCGTTCTATAAATACGTTTTTTTTGAACTTGTATATTTCCTTGGAGATGAAATCAATTTAGGAACTCTTGATGTTACATTTGAATTTCAATGCCTTTTTGAATTCGAAAATGCAGTTTTTTATTTTCATAGGGATATTACAGGTTGTGTACTCAAATAATTAACTTAGTAAGTTCTTCAAGTTGAAAAAGAAATCATTCTCGATGTTTTTGATTCAATACCTTGCTGACAATTCTGATGAAGATCTTTATCCAGTTTCTCAATGAGACTTCTATTTTTCTTGCAGAGACGGCATGCACAATTAATGAAAGGCTTGCTTAAACCACCTTTGTTAGATTGGTGAGGTTTGGACACGTAATTCTGATACTGTCCTGTTAAAATTGATTTTTTGAAGACTTGTTGTTGGTCCTATTTACCACTATTTTTGGAAACAGCAACATGGTTTCAGAGAAGGATATTCTACTGAAACTGCAACTAGAGATTTGATTCAGCTGATGAAGGATAAGATGGAGGCAGGCGAATTAGTCATTGGATTGTTTTTCGTCTTATCCCGTGCCTTCGATACTCTTAACTTCAATTGAATCTTGACAAAAATGTATGCACTCTATATATGTGGAAAAATTGAGGACTGGTTCCGTTCATTCCTAGAAGTGAGGAAACTGATAGAGTGAATGTTAAAACATCTGATGAATTCTTAGTGGACTCACGAGTTCCTCAGGGTAGCGTCCTGGGTCCACTGATTTTTTGTTAGTTATTAATGATCTTCCCGAACATGTGAAAGGTTTACTTGTTCGCAGATTTTATTTTTTAAAATCATTTATTTTGAATTATTACAGTATACATATTTTAAAACATGTGACTTCACAGTCTCTATAGTAAAAAGCGTTTTTTCTGAAATTTCATGAGTTGGTATTTTTTTCGAGTAGTGTAAAAGATAACTCAAAGAAATACCATAAATATATTCAATCTGATAAGTGAACATTTGGACCACATTATACAAAAGATACTTGAAAAAAATTCTTTGGTAAAAATATTTATTGATATTTTTTAAGATTTAGATTAAAATGTATAAACAAAAATGTACAAAAAATATAAATAGATACATAAATAAGTAAATCTACATGAATGATAAAGCTAAAAATTATATTAAAGTATAGTCACACGCATATCAGAAATTGAACAAAGTACATATTTCATTTATATTTTGGTTTTGTTCGAAATTGGAAATAAAGTTGTCTGAAACCATACATAGAGGGAAAATAAATATATTAAAACAATTAATTATAAATTGAAAAATCGTCAAGATTGTTTCGAAATTCAAAATAGATGAAGTTAATTCACGAAAAAAGTCATCTAAAAACTATATAAACAAATTCAGTAGAATATTTTCATTTACGTCAATCTAACTCAAATTCATATAATGCTCTTCAATTCATCTCACACAAGTTTCTACCTGCGAGGGTTATATTTCTACTCAAGAGTTAAAACACTTTTTTTTAATTTCTTAATAAGACTTTAAAATTCACTAGACCTGAAAGATAAGTATATAAATCTTTTTTTTTGAAAGAAGTACACTGATTAAAATTGAAAAACTATTTTTTGAGTATAACAGTAAGTCATAGGTTTATTAAAGTAATCAATATTTTCAATGTCAGATCTGATTTAGTAAAGGGTGTGGCTATACTTATAGAAAGATAATGATTCCTCAATTTTGATATCTTGCCCTAATTGAGGTGAACTAGTAGCTAAAACAGAAGAACAATTTAATGATAAACTACTCGAAGACTGTTGCTATTCAATTCCACATATCGACTACGGGAAGAGCCATCGGTGAAAACCTGTATATAAACAGTTCATCAAAATGAAGAAGGCATCATGGGCGTTTACTATGCATTGGTATATTCTTCTATTAGTCATAATATCATAGTTCATGGTCCTGCTACTTTCAGCAGCAGAGTCTTCATAGCACAGAAAATAATCAAACGATTGTTATTCCACTTGGGTTTTCGAAAATCTTGCAGAGATGTTATCAGAGAAAAGATAATATTGACATTCACGAGAATCTATTTGTATAAATTATCAATATTTGCCTACATTCATAAAAACCATTTTCTTCAAAATGCGGATGTCCACCACTTCGGACTGTCAATGACCAGTATACTATGTACCTACTATCTACTTTCAGTATTGCTTGGTTTGAAAATATTTTTAAAGTGTTTCACTGTTTTATTATTTTAACATTGTTCTGTTTTGACTTATGAATCCCGTGTTAATTGGTGTATGATCAATAAATGTGCGGATGGGTTTTTTGTACAGAATTCAGCACTTCAAAGTAAGTTCAGGGGCGGTACTCCATATATCCGAGCAATGCTGTGAAGAAGATATAAATAGAGCCTTCTGGTATCTCTGGTATCTGTAGAGTAGGGAAGGCGAGAGTAGACAAACAGCACTTAGGCCACAGTGACCCATTGTACATCCTCCTAGGTCATCGTTCATCCTGTCCTTTCCAGAAAGGTGAACAGGTCACTAGAAGACATCTCCCTAATATTGGCAGGTGTAGGCCAAGACTCGCCGAATACACACTCTCTTTGGTAAGCTTGAGGTGTATCACGGTGAGCTCCACGAAGGTTTTGGAAGGTACAGCGACATTACTATCGTTGCGCGGCTCTTTCAACCTTTTTGGGGTTACCTCCATGGAGTTGCACAAGTGAGGAAGCTTTCCTACAAGGGCAGCCGGTTCCTTGCCTTTATTCAAGGCGGAGCTTTTGGCGCCCGTTGCAGGAAGTGTCCTTGCTGTTGGGGGTGATCTGCTATGCACAGCTTCATTCCAAGCGGGGTGGACATTTCTGTTCATCCCCAGCCACCGCCTTAGATTGAGGAGAGCACTTCTGTCCAGCCTCGGGATTGGTATTTATTTTTGTTGTTCTGTTGTTCCATTCATGTGTATGCCCACAAGTTGCAAGGGAAGAGTTGATCACCTCTGGCAGAGCCCCGCATTACCAGAGGGAGGCTGATTACAATGAGTTTTCGCCCAGTTCCCCAAGGGGATTGTTCGTGACCGCATATCACCCTGCGGCCATTCAGCTGTCGGCACGATTCCTTAAGCCTGAGCTTGGGTAGGCTGGTTCACGGTTGCATGTTTTACAAAGGCTTTTGGAGGGTTTTAGTTCCCTTCACCCAACTCATTTCTGCCACTGACCAGGAGTCTGGCAACAACGTCTGTAGCTTCCCAGACAGGGCTCCCAGTCCCCTGGCCGTTTCTCTATCCGCAACCTGGAGACGCGCCCGATAGGTAGCCCAATCCACGGGTAATTAGAGCCTTATGAAGCACTAGAAGTTTCTGTAATGTGTATAACTTCACGCTGGTTCCTAGGAAAGTGTCTACTGGTATCCCAATCACCGGCTGACGTTGACCCACCAATCGCCATCTGCAAAACTCGAAACGTGTGTGAACATGGATTGAAGAGGCATTACCTTTCAATGGGTAAGTTGTAATACTCCAGAGGTCATCTTCGAACAGTGGCTTCCAAGGCTTCTCTGTATCAGACAACATTGTCCTGTACTTACGAGTGTATGTGGAGTAGAGCAGTTCCACAGTTCACCCATCAAGAGAATCAAATTATAGTTAATTGGATATGCACGAGCAACCCAGTCCTGTTTAAAATTCAGGAACGCGGCTGCATAAAACCTGCATTTGACATCTAAAATGAATTAGCGGACCCTCTCATGTTTTATCGAATTATCCGGATCAGCGACATCACTAACGTCCAATATTACGGCCTGTGCATTTTGCATCGGTTTCATCGATGTGTAATATATTGTTTTTTATTACTGTTCAGTTTCCGATTGTTATTTGTGGCCCGGTGACTTCGTTGCTGATGCAGGTTATGATAAATTAATGTTCTGTGTATGTTCTGTAATATTATACAGCTCGTGGTCAGCATTTTTCATTTATGGCTCTGATTGGGACGTGATGACGATGAGTTGGGGAAACTTTTTGCTCGCTTCGGCATACACTTTCATCAGATAATGGTCGAGAGTTAGTTTCAGCTGAGTTATTATTATTATTACTAACCATGAAGCCTTCAATAGTTCTTTTAATACATTCTCAATTACTTAAAGGGCAACAGAACATTGTTCCAGAGGTGATTCACAGTTTGGATCTAGATTTGATAATGAAGAACCTGCCTAAGATATTTCAAAATACTTCAAAGGGATGAGGAACGAGGAATTCACAGTGGACCAATGTTTCTATGATGGAGATTATCGTGACCTGATGAAATGAAATGTTTTGTTGCCCAGTTACAACAAAATTTCTCTCATTATGTGTTCTGGAATTTGGTATTTTCACAAGCAACACATTTTTTTTGCCGTTTATAAGATCAATTGACATACTTTCTCAGCTAACCCAATAACTGTTGCCACCTGATCTACTCGTTATTGAAGACTTCTAATTTCTTCACTTGATCGACACTGGTATTCCCCAGGGGAGCGATCTCGGCCCCTTAATTTTCTTATTGTTCATCAACGACCTTCCTGATTACATAAATGATTAGAGAGGTTTATGTTTGCAGACAATATATCTATAATGGTATCCAGCCCAGATGCAAATGAGCTACTCAGAAAAACAAATAATGTTATTTTCCAATTTGATGATTGGTGTAGATATATTTAGGATGTACTGTTTGGAACTTTTGGTGTGGTAATGAATATTACTGGAGTTTTTTCCCAACACCAAATCGTTATTTTTACACCTCGACACGTGTTTCGATCACCAAGTGATCATCTTCAAGAGGAAGATAAAACCTTTATTCATAGCTATTGCCTCGCTTGATATGTCCTTAATGTGACTCTCTGTTGCTAAAGTAACTCGACACATATCGACACATTTATTTAGTGTTGAATTAGGTTCCAAATCACATGAACTTGCAAATTATTTCAATTCTGTAATATATTGTCAAAACTTTCTAAGTTTTTTGATTTCTCATGAAGAATTTGTGTTTTTCATATATGTCACATTGACTTTGGGCACCAAATAATCATTAAACTTCATAACCAGTACTTCAAATTTGTCAATTTCATTTGGTTTCAACTCAACACACACATCTAGGCCTTCTTGTCCCATGCAGTGTAGTAATAAATTGCACTTTCTCTTGTCATCAGCTTCCGTTAATCCAGCAGACAACAGGAATACCTCAAAAGATTGTTCAAACTTCGACCATAAGTTGGCGGTTTTTGAATTCCCAACTTTAAAATATGGTGGTTTCGAATCCATTTTTAGAGCTTCAATTCCTCTTGTCCAGATTGCGCCATGTGTTCTCATTTACCACACTAGGAATGCTATTTACAAGCTTTATTTACATACTTATTTAGAATTACAGCATCAATCTCATATTTTACATTTCTCATTTTCATGCACAACGTGTCTAGTTTCACCAAACAGTGCCCACATCTCCGTTCTTCCGTCAGTGTCAACTGTCATTTCCTAGTACACGTTTTAGCGACACCACGAACAACCGGAATGTACTATACACATATACTTATTTCGAATAGGTACACGAAGGGAATTCAATTTGGGTTTTTATAAAGAGTATTGTCTACTTCTGGTTGATGTAGCGATTACTCTGAAATACCTTTCATTGTTGTAAACCTTAGATATTATATGAACAAATGTGAGACACAGCATCACAGCAATTTTTTGAAATTCCAGATCGTTTCCAGAATAATGTGATGAATGATTCCATGAGTTAGACAGCCGATCCCACTTCTGATTCGATATTTACTAATCTTTCCAATTCTCTCGCCCCTTGCCTGACTGCTATTGCGGAAAATAGCAACAGTGGTACAAAAATCCAGGGAATTTGATTGATCACTGATACAGGAACGACTCTCACTTCGTGCACGGCAATCCAGCAACAATCGCAGGTGGCCGTGACGTGACACGAGCAAACGCCTGCGGCGTTGAAGTGTTGTTCTCACACTTGATTTATTACCGTATGTTTTGCGGCAAATACTACCCGTAAATGTTGGGAGAACTTTCACTTCGATGAACAAGGTATTCAACCGTGAATTAGGTGCTTTCAGAATTTACTTCCGATGCAGGAGTTTCGTTGAATAGCGGGAATAACTCTTGTTGAAGTGCTTTCCCTCGTGCAATGAGCTTTATGAAATGGTGCATATGTATCTGAGTCGAACTACAATCTACAAATGATGACCCAACTCCGACAGCAAATTTATTTCAGAATGATGAGGACACAACTCTGACACCAAATATATTTCAAAATGACGAGAAGCCAGTTCTGACATCAAATTCATTTTAAGACAATGAAAAATCAATTTTGACACCAAATTCATTTCAAAATGATAAGGACCCAACTCTGACACCAAATTCATTCTGAAATGATGAGGACCCAACTCTGACACCAACATTATTTCAAAATGATGAGGACCCAGTTCTGACACCAAATTTACTTTAAAATAATGAGGAACCAACTTTGACACCAACTTTATTCCGAAATAATGAAGACCCAACTCTGACACAATTTTTTTTTTAAATCATGAGGACCCAACTATGACACATCATTTATTTCAGAATAATAGGGACCCAACTCTGACACCAAATTCATTCCGAAATGATGAGGACCCAACTCTGACACCAAAATTATCTAAAAATGATGAGGACCCAGTTCTGACACCAAATTTACTTTAAAATAATGAGGAGCCAATTTTGACACCAACTTTATTCCGAAATAATGAGGACCCAACTCTGACACAATTTTTTTTTAAATCATGAGGACCCAACTATGACACTAAATTCATTTCAGAATGATAAGGACCCAACTCTGACACCAAATTCATTCCGAAATGATGAGGACCCAACTCTGACACCAAAATTATTTAAACATGATGAGGACCCAGTTCTGATACCAAATTTACTTTAAAATAATGAGGAGCCAATTTTGACACCAACTTTATTCCGAAATTATGAGGACCCAACTCTGACACAATTTTTTTTTTAATCATGAGGACCCAACTATGACACTAAATTCATTTCAGAATGATAATGACCCAACTCTGACACCAAATTCATTCCGAAATGATGAGGATCCAACTCTGACACCAAAATTATTCAAACATGATGAGGACCCAGTTCTGACACCAAATTTACTTTAAAATAATGAGGAGCCAATTTTGACACCAACTTTATTCCGAAATAATAAGGACCCAACTCTGACACATTTTTTTTTAAATCACGAGGACCCAACTCTGACACCAAATCAATTTCAAAATGATGAGCACCTAGTTATCACATCAAATTCACGTTTAAATGATGAGGAACCAATTTTGACATAAACTTCATTTCGAAATGATGAGGACCCAACTCTGACACCAAATTTATTTTGACATGATGACGACCCAACTCTGACACCAAATTTATTTCATAAGTATTTTCTGCAATTAATTTCGAGATCGCACTGAAATATTCAGATACTAATTTCACTATGATAATTGTGAAATAAAAGGAATTAAACACTCTTATATTTTGTTCAGATATTGTTCAATTATCAGTTGTAAAATGGGCCGACATTTGCACAAAACTTGGAATTAAGATTTTACCTACCTTCTACTTGAAAGATGATTTTGTATCGATTATTGTTTTTATCTTTTGTTTGATAAATCTTATGATATATATTCAACTAACCTGTCAATGAAAATTATGTTGGATATTATGAAAATTGCTGATCGTGTTCTGTTCTTTACAGGAGCTCACTCTGGTCCTATGGGTCCGATTGTCGTCCACGAGGGTGAACATGTTCGTCTCCATTGTTCGGCCACAGGTGTCCCTACCCCCCGAATAACATGGCAGAGACTCGACAACCGCCCCATCAATAGAGGAGCTTGGCAAGGTGAGTACCAAACAGGTACTCCTTTCAAACACCAGAACTGCAATACTCTTTCAGACGAGTCTCCTGAAGACGTCATCTTGGTGGTTGAAACGCGCGTCAAAAGTAGTACTGTGGGGTCTGAGCAAAGTGCTTGTTTTGAATTCATTTCACAATTAACTATTGTTGCAAATTATCCCCTTGAAAAAATAACGCTGGCCGCCGCTGCTCTTCGTCAACTGATTGTTACTGGCCAAGGTCGCGTCAACCCTACTTCTCGATCGTTCGACAAGTCGCGTCACTTTGAGAATATTCCTATCGGCTTCCGAAGACTTCCATTGGGATATATAAGCACCACCAACAGGCGGATGAGGCGAGTTTAGTTGAGAGTGCGGTACGAAGTGGGATAATGAAGCGATAGATATTTGAGAATCAGTCTGAAGCTCAGTTAGAGTTTTTGGGTTGAATTGACAATGAATTAGTGAAATGAAGTTGACTTCAACTGTGTAGCGTTGACAATTATTGTGGAACCCACGGGGAAAACGTAACACTATGATGCTTCTGGGTGGAACATGGCCTAAAATCGAATTGAATTGTTCTTTCAGACCTTACTGTACATAAATGCATATTGAAAGATTATACAAGGTGAGACAGTCAGAATTTGTCTCCCTTATGAACAAACGACATATTTTCCAAATTTTGTTCTTCCGCCTTGCTTTCGATGGTCCAATCTGCATATTTGTTGTTTAGTTATACTGAATATTGTGCTGAAAATATAATATTCACTGAAAATACTCAATTGGAAGACAAGAAACTTCTAGATCAATAAATTATCTTGTTAACCCAAGTGTTAATGTTTCCAGATGTTCAAGCGTCTGGACCTACGCTTAACCTCACACAAATAAATCGGGATCATATGGGAACCTACATGTGTATAGCTGATAATGGTGTACCTCCGCAGGCGAATCAAACTTTCCTCGTGGAAATTCACTGTGAGTATTGAAGGGCCGGTGGTGATTCCAAAAAGATTACAGGAGATTTTGGTTTTGTAACTTCGAATCATTTTCTAATTTTGTTAACTGAAATATTTTCAATAATTTATTTTCTATTGAAGGAATCAACGACGTTTTAAAGGACAAAAAAAAACAAGAAAATAAATCTTCGAAACGAAATTGATTTAAACTTCAATTCATTATATTTTCTTGAATCTATTTGGTACAGTCCTTATTAGTTTTCTCGATTTTTTTTTAGTTTTTATTGTAATATTGTCAAGTAACTGAAGTATTGGTAGGTAATGACTTCGAAAGTAGAACTAAGTTGTTTTATTTTTAGATAAGTGAGTGAAAGTGCAAAGCTTAAATGTTAATTAGGAAGAAACATTCTACAGGGCTATTCAAATTCGTTTCTGTACATGGGGATCTCGTAAACGATAAGAGATAGAGTGTCGGTTAAATTATGGCAAAGTTGCGTATTTTAGAGATCTATTCAATGATGTAAGGAAATCGAATATATTACATTTGATTCTGGAGATATACAGCAAAAACAAAAAAATCCCAAATTTTTTTTTGCCTATATCTTCTTTATTCGCAGACATATTGAAAATCTGTCCACATTTTGCTATTGGCACTTGATGGGGGCTCTCAGAATATATCCATGAATTTTTTATACAGGGTGTCATCTGACTTGGCCACCCCCATCTTTGAATATTAACTAGAAAATGATTCATTTACGACATGATAAGTTGGATTTCTCAGATTTTTTTATAACACCCTCAATTTTATTATGTCATTTGCAAATACTCATCATCACATCTGAAACTGAATTGGAATGGAACGTATATAGACAAAAAAACTAGAGATCCCGAAATGGATCCCTGGGGATCACCGCAATCTTTCACAGTGATAAATTCTTCTATTTTTATCATAGAAGAACGTGATGATACATGATGAATTATAATGAAACACTTCTTTCAACTTTCAAAACGTTCCATTGTTTGTTAGTAATGTTCATGAATACCAAATGTATATACACAGCTTTTGTGTGAACATTCCATTCAATATCGGTACTGCGTGCCCTGAAATGTTTTGCCACAGGTTGAAACCACACAAAAAGCTAATTCATTAATGATGGATATGTACATTTCACTTTGCGTATTTGTGAGCCAGAATAAACCACTGCATCAAAACGATAAACAAGACTCAGTGATGACTGAAACGGCATGAAATTATTGAAATTTTCTTTTGCAGCCAAATATGTGTCTCGTTTATTCAGAATATTGATGTATCAAACATATATACCAGCACTAGAACTGCAATACTTTTCTGAATTATCGAACCAAAACTAATTCATCAATATTTTCTCACAGTTCCTCCCCTCATCCGCATTTCTAACCAGATGCTGGGGGTTGCGAATGGATCAACAGCTATTTTAGAATGCGAGACTGAGGCTTTTCCTGAACCCTTGCGGTGAGTAAATTGAACTTTGGAGGCAATTTTATGTTTTCAGTGTTCATGATTCATAGATTTTTCATTGAAGAAAACATGGAGTTTCATTCAATGATACCACCTATTCCCTACTGATTAAAAAACCACATTTTCATCGTTCAATTCCAATATTTCCACCTTCATTTCCGTCTTTCAGATACTGGGAGCGTTCAGACGGCCGCCTTCTGGAAAACGGCGACAAATACAGGATGGACAACTCCCTCGACAGGAACGGCTATAGGTCTCGGATGCAACTGAACATAACGAGGATAAATCCTACCGATCTGAGCTATAAATACTACTGCATAAGCAAGAACGAGCTGCAAACCACCCGAGGAGAGTTTCAGATGAATGGTGAGTAGACGGAGAGTAAATATTATCCCGGAGTTCCGGAGTTTGACGTGGTGTTTTCGTTGTAAATAGTTCCGGGGTTCCAGTGGAACTGCGACTCCCTGGATATATTTTCATCTGGCAAAGAATCTAATATTTGCATACTTACTTAGTGAGTTCGCAAAGCATTCGATACTCTGAGCCATGACTGATTATTGGGAAATTGCTGTAATTGGAATTTTGAGAAATGATTCATAATTGAATAGAGAATTGAATTGACAGGTTTTTCACTGTTCAATAGTTAGGTTAGGTTACGTCCAGAGTGAGTGGGTCTATTCGACCCTCCACCGCAACCCGCAATGGTTTACTGTGGCTCACAACTATTCACACTCATTCTCAACGAAGCCGTGAGGCTTTAAGGTCTTTCAGGTCAGATGGCAAGAGTACGGCTCTGCCGAACTCTAAAAACCAGATTTGGTCCCCAGCGGGGCAGACACAAAGTATGTGCTCTGCTGTTCCGTCATTTTCCAGACAAAGCGACCCACACTGTCTTCCGACAGCCCGAGTCTCTGCATATGGTGACTCAAATGACAGTGACCTGTAAGAAGGACTGTTAGACATCGTAGTTCATCCCTACTGCAGTCCAACAACTGTTTGGAATCAAGCTTCGAAGGGTGAATAAACGCCTTGGAGTGAGCCAATCCTGAAAGATTTTGCCAGAAGTCTATAACTCTTCTTGCCAATCAGGTGTTCAGTGTTTGTTTGGCAAAGCCCAAAGCGATGCCAATGACAGGTTCTGGTCCAATGAAGTCGCTTGCAGCACCCTCCTTTGCAAGAGAGTCAGCAGCTTCATTGCCTTCCAGGCCAGTATGGCCAGAAATCCAGACCAAAGACAATCTATTTAGTCTTCCTATCGAGGAGAGTCTTTTTTGGCAGTTTGCTACCAATTTAGACGTTGCTCGGTAGGAGCCAAGAGCTTCCAACGCCGCTTGACTCTCCGAGAATATTTTTATTCACATGTGAGTGAGGTTGGATTTATCCAATCTCTCTGCACACAATTCAATAGCGTAAATTTCCGCTTGAAATACAGTCGCATAAGTTCCTAGGCAGGTAGATCACTCTGTTCAGGGTCTGCGACTGAAAACACCTGCACCAGAACCGGTAGGTGTTTTTGATCCATCTGTGAACCAACAACTATCTGCTTTTAATGTTTCCTTCTCCCGGTTTAATTGTAATAATTATACTTTGCATTCCTTGGATCCTTCCTAAAGAGTTGGACCTGTTAAACCTTTAAAAATCATTTTTTCTTCGTTATTTCCTTCAGTATTTGATGACAAAACCTCAATAATATAGTTTGGCCATTGTCTTTGATAGAATAGAATAGAATAGAACTTCATTGCGCCCATAAAAAATACAAATATTTTGTATTGCGTGTTTTGTAGGAGTGAATATCCGAGTGTGTTGTGAGTGTGTGATAATTTTCTTTGACATGCAGAACATTGTCAAAGTTAATTTGTGAGAATAGAGTCATGATTCCTGTATTCTCAAACAAAGGCTTACAGTGTTCATTATATTCAGCTTCAACAATGCTACGTACAGCAACTTTTTGCAAGACAAATATTCTTTGAAGATGGGTGTATCTTGCATTACCCCAGCATAGCAACCCATAACTCATTGCTGAGTGGAACAAGGCGTAGTATGTCATTAGAGCTGCTTTCTGACCAGCCGTTGTAGCTATTCGCCCAATGGCATAAACAGATTTTGCTAGTTTGTTGCAAAGATTACTGATGTGGTTGGTCCAGGCAAGAGACGAGTTAAGATGAACTCCAAAAAATTTTATACTTTCTGATGTAGAAATGGCACCAGTGTGACAGTTTGAAAATACACAAATTTCTGTTTTTGTTTCATTCATATACAGTTCATTAGAGTCAAACCACTGTTTAGCAGGAGCACAAATATTTGCCGATATGTTATCAACATCACGGGTTCTATCTATATGTACAGAAAATGACGTGTCGTCAGCGTTTAATATTGTCAGTAATTCAAGTTTGAGATGCATATATGAAGGTAAATCATTAGCATAAATTAGGAACAGGAAAGGCCCCAGTATGAATCCTTGTGGGACTCCCCTTTTGATAATACGTTCTTGACTTATCATATTGTTATTGTAAACTCTTTGTGTTTTGTTAGCTAAATATGATTCAATTATTTTATTGGGAATTCCTCTTATGCCATACCATTCTAATTTCTCCAACAGTTTATCATGACTGACACAATCGAAAGCCTTCGACAGATCTGTGAAGATAGTTGAACAGGATTGTTAATTTTCAAAAGCTTCAATAATGTTATTAGCTAATTTGTTTATAGCTTCTATGGCACTTTTACGTTTCCTACACCCAAACTGATAATTATGTAAGAAATTATTCCTTTCCATGTAAATACTAAACTGTATTAAAATAGCTTTTTCCATTACTTTGGATAGGGTGGGCAATATGTGAATATGTCTGTAATTCTCAGGTAATTTTTCATTTTCTTTCTTGAATATAGCTAGAACTTTGGCTGGTTTGTTCTCCAACATTCTGCATCATTTATAACGCATCAATGACAAAATTTATTACAAAATTAAACTGTCAGAATTCTCGGATTATTTTGTATTTGAGACAATGTTGATTCATTTCTTGAATCCATTCTTCAATTGAAATATCGTGATACCAATTTTGTCATTCGGATTGGTAATCTATCCCTGGGTGGTCCTAGAAGTTCCCAGCCTGATCTAGAGATGACGGTAGTTGTTTGAAAAATATTACGGTATTAGAAAGTACACAATCTATAGACCACATGTTTCAAGTTTGAAGACGCTCTGTTGTTTGGTATTTGTTTCGCAGCCATCAATAATTAACGTTTTCTGTTTCCAAACTTGAAAAAATCACTCAGTGGTCATAGATTTTCCCACAAGGAACATGTGATGTCGGCGGTTAATGGTTATTCTGAGGAGCAAGATAGTTCTTATCATGAAAACGGTAAAGAACTTATTGAACGTCGGTGGGAAAGGTGGAAAAGTGTATACATCTGCAAGGAGATCATGTTGAAAAATGAATACTTTTTTTTTTGAAATTTTTGTGTTTTATTTCTTAGGTCCGGTATTTCTGGGACCACCCAAAAATATGCTAGTGAAGCATTTTTTTTTAATCTGATGGTGCAGCCATACAAAATTTCACCCATAATCTCAAAGTTGGTGGTACAAAATACTGAAATCTTTTGAAAAAACAAAGACTATACAAATTAAGGGGAAATCAATTAATGATACTTTGCTTTTTATTTTTTTTTTAATAAAAATTCAAATCAATTAACAAATGTACAATATCAAATGAATGTCTATAAATATTAGAAAATTTTAACACAGTCTGCTAAGTGTAAATACTTGTGTTTGACTGGGTTAGTTGAAAAGTAAAGATAATATTAACTGTTAATAGATATTGTTCATGGAAAAATAAATTGAAATGATGGAATGTATCAACAATAGTATTTTATTATGAATGAGGGTGAAATAAATCATCTGTTGAATTGAATCATTTCAATGTGAGTGAACACATTCTCAATTTTTTCACTATTATCTAATATCCAATTGTGTAAGTTTTTTAAATGCTGTTTTTCTCAACTTTTCAATTTCTCGTGGAATCATATTGTGAATTCTACAACCAATACATTAAATGTAGACTACACTTAGGAATTTGAAAGCATTCATTGGTCTTTGATCTTGTATTATACTATCATGTCAGTATTTGCAAAATGTTTTTTATATAGATGTCAATGATTTTGTAAAATGTTTGTCTGAGATTTAAAATGAAACATTTTCTGAATTTTGATAGAAATCTGAAAGATTTTTAAAAATAATTTTTATTGCATATTCATTAATAGACTTGACAGATTTTAATGAATTTTCATACGCACCACCCCAGGCTGTGATTCCGTAGGTCAAAATATTGGAAAATGATGCATGATAAAACATTAATAGTATTTTCACTTCAAATATATTTCTCAGAAGTCTAAACCTACAAAGACATTTTCTTATTTTTTTTGTTAATTCAAGTGAATGTATTTTCAATATTGTGAAAAATCATAGTGAACATCTTCCTTCAACAGGAGTGAGCAATATACAGTTATTAGTTTTTTGAAAACTATTCAGAAAATTAATGATTTCGACTATCAATATTGTGATAACCAATTTCAAAATAAGAACTTGGCACTCATTTTCGATTATTTTGTTTTCCAGAAATCGACCCAAGAATGCCTCTACCCCCAAGAATAACCACAGAACGTGGCAAGGAGACTATTTTCGGCGTTCTACCTCCGGATAAGGTCTCCCTCGAGGATCTTTGCGGGCCCCCTATTCAATGCCCTGAGTGCGACATCAGGGAACCCATTAAATGCAGCACCCCCAGCGGAGTGTCTCTCATTGACCTCCTCAGTAGGTGGGAGGTGAGACCATTCCAAGATAATATCACGTACAGCGGGTTCACGAACAGGTCAAAAGGTGAGTGTAGAGAGAACTACAGTTGGGTCGGCGAAAGAATACACATGCGTCATCAATAAATTCGACAATGAAACACGTATTTTCATGTAGAATTATTTTCCTCCACGAGTGAATAATTTTTGATCACAAGTTTCTACTTACAAGACCTTGAAAAAATAGAAGTAATAGAATTGGTCTCATCACATTACACAATTTATACGATATAAGAGCTTTATTTTACAAAAAACATAACCTTTTTTCTCAGAATCACTTATGCCAATTATTTTACATCATATACATTGTGGATTGTAATAGTTTTTCATCTTCTAAGTGCTTGGAAAGAATACCTTCTACTTAAAAATATAAAAATATTTTAAAAACAAAAATAAAAAGTTAAGAGATTCCAAGCCAAGTTACTTCACAACGTTTCGATTGTTAATATCCACAATCATCTTCGGGTGATGACTGGACTGATTACTCCGAGAGATGACTATTCATGGGACAATCGAGTACTTTTACTTATCTCCGCTTTCCTTTGTCCGCTTCACCGGTTTAGCGGGAGATGACGGTTTGACGGAAGTTGGCCATTGTTCGCTTGATTATGGGTTGCCATATGTTGCGTATCTCTACGCTAGCTTGACTGAGTGCATTGTTGAACAACATGTATGCGGCTTCTTTGAATTTCCTCCTAAACCAATGTTCCTCCCTGTGTATGATCTCAGCTTGGGACCACTCGATGTTATGTTGATGGGTCCGAACATGCTCTGCTATTCCTGATTTGCTGCTTTTCCCTCGCTGTGTGTGTTTCTTGTGCTCGACAATGCGAACCTTCAATGGCCTCTTAGTTTCACCGATATAGGATTTTTCGCACGCACAGAGTGTCCGTTAAATACCAATTCTTGGAACCGCAGTCCACGTTTGGTGGCCTGGTTTTCGTGAGGCTGCTACGGATAGTGTTTCCGGATCTGAAGCAGGTTCTGATATTGTACTTGGACCCAACTTCGTAGTATATTCATTTTATTTGATACGTCATTTTTGCATGACCGGCCTCTACAATATTTGTTTTAACATCTCCAAACAATCTCTGACCTCGAAACTCTTTAAAAATTGGTATAACAACCATCTAGGTTTTCCGCTATCTCATATTTTTCACTCTTACAATCGATATGCATATTGTAGGGGTGCATAAAACATGGTCTTAGATCTTTGGAAGTCCACAATATTTAAATTAAACTGACGTCATGTTATTGTTCTTATTTTTTCGAGCAACCATTTTCATTTGATAGTTCTTTTATAGGAGGGCATAAAAAACTAATCCGTCCTGTTGGTGCTCCGCCATATTTGACTCAGAGTGACGTTACTTCATCGTTCATATTCTTCTCAGTAAATTCTCCTATTTCATACTCACATTAAGACGGTGCACAACAAAACTAGATCGCCATATTGGTCGGTATTCCATGTTGGTAATCATGAAAGCTTGTAAAAAATGAAGACAAAGTAGCTTACTTTACTTCATGAAGATCCATATAACTATACAAACTTGAATCATCGACAATTTCTTAAATTTTCAAACCATTTGATACATGATACATGTACACCGTAACAGTTTGTATCGTTTACGTTTTGTTCATCGTGAACTTTTTTACGATTTTGCAATTCAAAAATGGCTGTTTCCATAAGTAAAACGTTGCTATTTCATATTTTATTGAGATTAACTTTTTTATCGTGATTATAACTTTTAAATTCAAATTTTAAATAGGTCTGTCTGATGTGGCATTAGAAAAGACCAGTGTAAAGTTATTTTCAGCATTGAACTTATCTGTTCATGAAGTTTTTCTTATAGAATCACAACGTGATATCTATCAAACAAGTTTCTTTGATGAAATTAGAAAACTATTTTTTCGAATATTGAGTCTCTTAGTATCTTATTGAAATCACTTCTCAACATAATCATTCAATATCGTTTTCTGAGAACAACTTCAATAACATTTTACTTAGTGTGTAATACAAACTAACTGAAAGCTAAGACTAGCTGGTGGATTTTTTCCAGCGATCCACATTTGTGAAAGTGTTTAAACACGGGTTTCCAATAGCGCCGGAACGAAGGCAATTTTTTATCCAAAAATTACGCTAAAGTTACAAATAATGTCCCAACTCCGCGCCTTTGTTGCTGCCTTTCCATTTCGCATTCTAACTTTCGTCTTTCATTAAGCCCATTATTTCCATTATCCAATATCTGGTCTCGTTCGTGTACACCTCGGATTGCACAAAGGCCCAGACTCTTCGGACTTCCAATAACGTCGCAATCGATATCCTATTATGAAGGCTTCATAAATCAGAAAATAAAGGAAGCGCGGCTTCCATCTTTCAGAAATTGAGGCATCACGAAAATCCAATTGGATTTTTTGTTATCTTAATGAACAGAGGAGGTTGCAACCAAGCTTTTGTAAACCAGAAAAAAGTGAAATTCAATTCATGAATGCGCAATTTTCATTTCGGTTTCGAAGTTCGCGGACAACAAAAGTTTCTGTGTGGGAGAAATCAGTTTTTATGGATCTATTTTGTGAAAGAAATATCGCTCATAAAAATCTTTTCTAAAGCAGAATGCATACCCAAACTATTCTGTAAATTCTACAGTAGCTGAAATAGAAAGCAAACAATTACTGAACAAAATCCGGGCTAGTAGGCTGCGGGGACGAAGTTTATATTCTTGAAGTCTCAGCAATAACTGGATGGCGAGCTACGTATTCACTCGTATCAATAATTTCGGAAGGTGATGAGTGGGGATGGTGTCGTAGGTGCTTAGGGCGCCCATACAAATGATCACTTCTGATTGGTCCGCACTTCTGCTGGATCGTTCTAATTGGTCCGCACGTTGGTGATAGGTATGCTACTGTTGAAATGTCGATCGTAGTTGCGTTCAGGTCTATTTCTGACCTTCTTGAGTACTTAATACTACATTCTATTCACCCGCATACTTTCTTCTCATCTGTTGAAACTGTTGGGATGCTTATAGATCTCTTATAGGTGGCAGGGAGGCAGCCACCTGTTTCTACTAGGACATGAGGCGGCAGCCACATCTGTGTCCTTGTATTCTGATGGATATGCTGCTTTTGGCAGTTTTGATGTAAACTGACCCACATAAATATGGGATCCTGTAAACACCGGCAGATGTCATAGGCTCTCGTTTGTCCTTGACCGATTTGATAGTGTTGTGTAATTGGTTAGTTGGCTTATAAATGGTCTCAGTTTTGTGAGGTTTGAATAGTTCTCCAATGCAGTCCATGGCATTGTTTATTCAAGGCAAGTTCTTCTTCAAGATGATGTGGTTAGCTCAACTCAGTCAATCGACCGATGTGGTTAAGGAAAAAAGATATTTCAAAAGATTTCAACAGATTCTAACAGATTTTAACAGATTTTTAACAGAATGTAAAAGAAAACCTCATAGCCCGTTTTTGACAAAAGGGTCATCAACATAGCAGAAGCAACATGTATGTTTCGGTGGAAACCGTATGTTGGGAGTGATGGAATCAGATATGTTGTTGGAGATTTTTATCAAACAAAGAATATATTGAGAACTATACTCTCACAAATAAAGCCCAAAAATATAAAAAAGTATTTTCAAAGTACCTTGTTCTTGGGGCAAAAGCTCTATGGGTGAAATTTCAAAGCCATTGAAAGTACATTAGAACGAGCACCGAGAATATATCAGAAATAAATTATCAACAGTGATAAAATTGTCTCAATACGTCTTGAAATTCGACGGTGTGTGTGATTTCTGCTCAACTGATTTAAAAATCAATGATATGACGATACTATGATTCCAACGTGTAGCATATTTATAGGCATAAGTTGTTAACTCTTGTTTGTACGCTGTACAACAGTAACATTTATAAAAAACAACTGTCTGGAACCAAAAATTTCAGATTCTGAATAAAGTAAATCGTTAGGGTAGTCGTGACTTTTTCGTAGGATACATCTGATAAATCTCTTCTGCATAACCTCAAGAGAATATAGATGAGTTTTCGACATAGTATGTCTGCTATCCGATTGAATTTGTGAAGTATGCAACGTTATTTTTCAACTATGTGGTCTATGAAGTGGTCCCATCTGAGATTACTGTCTAAAACTATTCCAAGATATTTGATTTTCTTCGTGGGTTTCATGACTTTCGAATTGTAGATTTCGATGTCATATTCTGGTAGAGAGTTGTCATAACTACTGAATGGTGGGTAGTTGGTTTTCTCGAAGTTAATTAATAAAAGCTTGTGGTCGAACCATAATTTAATTTGATGAAGGTCATGTTCTAATTTCTGTTTCAAGATGAAGCAGTTTTTGTTTTCGCAAAACAACACAGTATCATCAGCAAAACTCTGAATGTTGTTATGTATACATTGTACTTTGCCAAAATGGTCAACTCTTGTTGACCGTTTCACAATAGAATGTAGATTCAAATTCGAAAGAATGAGTTGTGGTGTCAGGATTGATTCAACCTATGGAAATAATTTTTACATTGGGTTTGGAATGTCCTTGATGCTGACTTGGGACAACAGTAGTATAACTACTGTGTTCACGAAAAATACCTCCCTTCTCTAACTGTCAATACACAATTTAACTGAATCAATTTTAATATTTCATTTCAACACAGAGGATGTGCTCAAGTGAACTGAAAAGTAGAATTGCTTTTTACTTATTTCGGAAGATTAGCACATTTTTTGACTGAAGATGAAGAAGTCGAGTCATTTTATGAATGGAATTTGATGCACATCATGATTTTACTCAAACATCATTATACACTCAAAAAAAGATGAAGAACTAGAAAGCCAAAACTTTCCTTTTCAAAAATTGATCCCTCCTGAAAACATATTGATAAATGTATTGCTTCATCGCCTTTGAACCTTCAGCTCATGTTTTACGGAAGTAGTAATGAATACTATCAGAAACGATACTTTTAGATACATCTTCCAGAGACAAAAAAACCATCACTGGCAGCTCCGTTTTGAATTACGACCCTAGTTTCTTCGATGCGAAAGTCCTCTCTGCGATGCGCTTATGAAAGTCATTAAATCCCTATAGCGATTCATAACTTCCCGGCTTTCGATCGACAAATAGTCTCTACGTGACAGAACTCTCTATTGGGATTTGATATAAATATCTTTTAATTCTTCTGAGGGAATATTCAATTTTGAGTATTTCCCTTTTTGTTTAATGAATATGGATGGAAAGATTATGAGCTGAGACAGCCTGGAGTAGTCATTAAAAACTGAAAGGAGAATCAGTTAGTTGGAAGAGGAGTTGAATAATCCGGGGATTATGAAAATATTCACCATAATTTTATTAGTTAACGTTTCTCTGGGACAATAATTTAATTTCCGCATATTGCGGAATGCTTTTAATAAGTTACACCACCAAGACAAATGTACCTCACAGAATGTTTTTTATATTGAACCGCTGCTTCTTTTGTGTTTTTCTAATGCCACTAAAAATGTATCGTCAGGTGGTTCAAGCCCCAGGCTGAACGATCAATTATCACTTGCTATCGTCCAACCCGTGTTAGGAATCACATGTAAAAAGGCAAGACCTCGTTAATCCTTCGCTCGCATGAATTTCGACTTCTGAGGGTTGTCGTTCGTAGGGGTGCGATAGCTGGTTAACGGAGAAACATATTTCAAACAGAACTATTACATTATTCGCATTCAAATTTGGGATCAATGTGTCTTCAAACCATTCCTCGAAAATATTAGCTTTCATTTTCTTATGATTCTCAACATTGCAGTCCTCGAGTTTTTTCCACATAATTTCAGAGAATTCGAAACCCGTCCTTTACTTCCTCCGCAATGCACAATGATTAGTCGCGAACCTTTGTTTGCAGGCATGTTAGGCGTACACATTGTCGAACCATCAGTCCACCATTTCGTAACTGTGTCGTGAGTGTCATACCAAGATTCGCCGTTGATCTATATTTAGTTATTTGTTCTAAGCATTTGTTATGTAATTTCACTGTTCTTCTGCTTTTCATAATTGCTTGGCGTTTGTTTATTATTTAAAATCTAAATTCTACTTTCTTTATCGAATTCTGAAGAGTTTCACCACAGAAAATCACGTTATGGCTGAAAGTATTCAATTTCTTCCTTATGATTTCAGTTGTAGAAATTGCTTTTGTAACAGTCGTATATTGTTTTTTTCAATGATTTTATTAGATGAACGTATAAAGGTTTTGGTAATCCTTATCACATCGCGTCATGCGTTCATAAGGTAATAATAATAATAATAATACATTTATTGGTCCTTAATATGAGCATACAAGAATCACTACTCTGAAAAAAGTCTGTGTTGTTATCACTCTTGTATTTACCATTAGTACTTGTCCAAGGACGCCACAGATAACACAAATTTCAAGTAATTATAACTGCACCAATATCGAATTTCAACACTCAAATCATGATCAGTCCCTGAACTGAACACGACGGCGATAACCAACCCCGCATTCCCCGATTTCTATTCGTCACCGTAACATGACTTGAAATTGAATTTTTTGAATCTTCAGCCAATCAGAAAACTCGGTTAGTAAAAATTATCCAATACGAACCGCCTATTCTGCAGTCCACGTGGACTAGTTCGCGATCTGTCATTTCCATGTGTTAGTTTTTTTGGCCTTTGAGAGTGCCGCCAACTTTAAGTGTGCACAATAACGTTTACTTGGACTATATCAGTCAGTTATAATATCAATATAGTTATAATATCAAAAAGATCACGAAGTATATAAAAAATTTGGCTAAGGTTCAAGATTTGGTAGTTTGAGTATAGGTTTCAACTCATTCAAAACACTTCAATGTGATATTTTGTAAAACAGCTACATGTTTTTCATTGCACTATATCTTCAAGAGTTGATTTATGAAAATTTGTTACAGATTGCGTTCTTTACGCTGTTGGAAAACCTGTGTACCATCGTTACACCGAACATGTCTACGGTTGCTGGATGAGGGATTCAAATCCGCCCAATGAAAAGGAGGAACAGAAGTATTGGGTGACGAAAGAAAGCGAACCCACTATTTTATATGAATATGATAATAAGACGATGTACAGGAGAGATATACCAACCAAGTAAGAAGTTTGCATCCACACAAATGTGTATTTATCAAATATACTGATCGGGTTATTATTTGTGTGGGTTTTTCCTAGTTTCACAATCTTTAGGGGATATCTTGAATTGAAGGCATTCCAACATCGGAGAATAAAGAAACATAAATTGAATTACAGTTCAATAAAAACTTTGAAAAATCTCTCAGTTTGAGATTGAAGTACCAACACGACTAATTCCATTCATTAGAGTTATTTTATACTCTTCTGCTCACTTCACTGATTATTAATGAAGCGAATATTGCGAAATGGCAGAGGATGAATGTCGAAGTAACTTAATTCATATAAATGACTCTTTCCTAACTTAGTAGCAGATTCTTGCTATGATTGTGTTACTGAAGATTATCGAATTTTCTACCTCCTCATTTTCAATTCACAAAACTCGGTGGCAATGATTTCTGGCAATACTGCTATAATTTTCACATCTCGATGACCTTTATGATGAATAATTATTTGATTTCCTGGAATTAACTACACTGACTAGATACAAACTGTTATGTGTCAATGAATTGATGGATGTAGCCGTTACTATGTAGTAAGAGATCATGCAAAATGAGAAATGAAACATAGTATGAAACATAGTAAAAAATAGAAAATTCCATTTCTCGTTTTTCATATTATGTGTCACTCAATCTTGAATTTTTGGATCTTGTATGTATGTATGCATAGCGGAGCGTTACCAATAATATATAACAATGATCATGACGATTAAAAAAAAAACTCGAGAAAGAACTCCAATATTTGAAGTGAATGTTAATGATTTCGTTATGATTCTGAATACTTTTCAAATCAAAAGGATGACAGAATCTCTGCCTGAATTGAAGAAACTCTGTAGATGGACAATAAAATAATGAATATATTTCATAGATCACGGTATAACATCTACATTGAAATATTATTTACAATTTGTTGATTTATTTTTTCCGGAATTTTCAATCAATGGAATAGTATCTATCAAAAACATGCATTTGACTATTGTGCTGTTTAAATATATGAATGAATATTTATATATGGTATGAATCGATTTTTCTGAAATAAAATGAAGGACTCTGGTGCCATTGCAAAAAATATTCATGACTTGGATTAAAGACAATTGCAGCCTTGGAAATTCTGATAACAAAGTTGATTCATTCTACTTTAGACAATATAAATATATCTTTAGAATTTATACTGGTATGATATGCTATAACTCAGTCCATCAAAAGTTCTGAAGATTTGAATTGTCAAATAAAAAAATGTATTTTTTCACAGGGAATACAACTTAGATCATCCATTCGGTGGAAACACCCACGTAATTTATAATGGTTCCTTTTTCTACAATGTGTTGAATACCAGGCGGATCATAAAATATCATCTTCTTAACGAAAGTACGGTGAGTATTTGTGAAATTTTGAACATTTTTATTTCACTGTACGACCGCTGTGGTTTATGGCTTATTCGCATACACCTGCGACTCAAAAAACCTCGCAAAAAAAATCTAACAGGATCATACTGCTCTGCTCCTGCAGAATATCCAATGAAGCACGTAGCCTCGTGCTGATGAAACCACATGTCGTTGGTGACCAGATCATCCAATTCAGACCAAATAAAAAATTGATAATCATCGACCTATAGTGCTCGTCGTTGACAGTGATGGGCTGGCTAACGTTGTTCTCAAAGGAATATAGACCAATGACGCGGCAAGCCCAAAATCCATACTAAACGGTAACTTTTGAGATACATTGGACACCCATTTCTGGATGAATGGTTACGTACAAAATTGTCGAATTTGGGTTGATACCAATCCTCATGAGATCCAAAATCTGTTTAAAAAACAGATTTTAAACAGACTATATATGTTAAAACTTTGAAAATTGGTTGTGTTAATCCAAAAGGTGTGTTCTGAAGCCATCGACAAAATAGAAGCAATGCCTCAACAAATAATTTTTCAATTTTCTCTTGAAATCTTGTGGCATATTGTACAGATCTATGATCTATGGAATTTTTTTGCGATAAGTGAAGATGAAATCTATTCTTATGTGGTGAGCGTTTCGGAGTTTTTTTCATGGATATGACATTGTTTCGCCAGGGATGATTGCTTCTTATGGATTTCAATCAAAACGTAATAAAGAAATAAAGTTGGCAATGGCATAATTCTGAGTAAGTTTCATTTTTCGTCTGTTTCAATGTGTTGGAAATTAAAGGTGATACACTTCGTTGAAGTATTTTCTTTATTACTGAATATAGTGTATTGTATGATATTTTAACGGTGTTATCTAGTCGAACAGCTTATCGAGAGTGTTTGTTGGGGCCGAGACGACTAAGTCACCAGGATGAGCGCTGTTGCCAGTTATTTCCTTAACTATAATACAATTCTCATATTACTTAATCCTAGACATGATCCGGCTCGAAGGACCATGTAGGAAATTGAAGGTGATACACTTCGTTGAATTATTTACTTTACTACTGAATATAGTGGACTGTATGATATTTCAACGGTGTTATCTCGTGATTGTTAGGGCCAAGATGACTAAGTCACCAGGATGAGCGCTGTTGCCAGTTATTTCCTTGACTATAATATAATTATTATATTACTTAATCCGAGGGGGCTTTTTCTTTCAGTGTGTGACTGAAACTTTTTGTTTCCATTCTGTAGACATAGCTATCGAAATATTTCACAATAGCCCCCTACCTACACAAAGTGTGGGTAAGGGTAATACTACTCCCCCACACACGTGTGGGAGTATCATTACTATTATTACTCGATAGCGACTCATTCGAAACAAAGGTTTAACCCAAGATATAAAGCTTCTTCATCAATCCAGAAATTGGATATTTCGATTTTAGAATACGTGGAGGTAGCTTGAAATGTTCTCTGAGGTGTCAGTCAAGATGAAATGTGTGGTAAATCGAATTTTTTCGACTAAATTTGTTCGAGTTGCAATTCACCTTTTTGCGAAAGGATTGTCACAACTGAAGTGTGTGCTTGTTGGAATTCGATTAAAAGGATTACTGAAAGCGAAAGATGATGAAATGTAGGATTAAAGTGATTGTTATTCCGTTGAGGATTTGAAGCCAGTTGGAAGAATAACTTGTGGATTTCATCAGTTAGGGAGAAACTGTGACATTTACATTTATGAATCTTTCATGAGGACAATATAGATACTTGTATACCAGGTACAGAAAAAGTTATATCTTATATAATTATTTGTTCTTTTACATCCCTCTTTATTCATTTAATCATTTATTTATGGTAATGCCTATTTTTTACAAAATAATTAACAAGTTCACACATATATGTATTTTACAGTAATCTAAGCTAGGTTTGAGAAAATAATATATAAAATAAAAAAAAAATCGTAAAAATAAGTTAATTAATTACAAATTTTTCACAGTCTTTCTGAATCTACATTGTATGTATTTGCAAGTCTCAAAATTCTACCTACAGATTAATTTCGGCCAACAAAAGGGAACTTTGAAGATTTCCTAATTTCTTGTTATGAATTAGTGTAAGATCTGATTCTAATTTTCTAAGAGCCAGAGTATTCAAGTTAAGAATGTCCAATATAATTTTATAGTCATATTCATCAATATAATATCCCAGGTCATATGCAGATTACCTTAAAAACTTATTTTGAACACTTTCAAGCATATTAATATCCACATGATATGAAGGGTACCAAATTGTGGAATTGTATTCGATTATTGATTTATCAATTGAACAATATATGCTTTTTATTGAAATGAGAGATAAAATTCATTTGCAGATCTAAGAATGAAACATAACATTTTTAGTGCTTCAGAAGTAATATTTGCAATATGGGGTTTGAATGACATTTTTTGGTAGAGAGTGATTCCTAAATCTCTGACTGTGTTTGTTGTTTTCAGTTCTGATTGATTCATTTTATATGGCCGGTTAATGGCATTTTTGTTTCGGAAAAAAGTAAATTTTTGACATTTGTCTGTACTGAATTGCAGTACATTTATATCACACCAGCGAACGAAGTTAGATAAATCGTACTGTAATAATTCTGTATCAGTTGAGTCATGAATAATTTAAACATCTTCAGATGTTTCAGCAAACAAAAGAAATTCATTATAGAGAATAATATCTTCCAAGTCATTCACAAATAGGTTGAAAAGCAATGTCCCTAAACGAGAACCCTGTGGTTCACCCGATGAAACCGTGATTGAGGAAGATACTGAATTACCATATTTTACAAATCGTACTCTGCAGGCTAGATAATTTTCAATCCATTTCAGAATGTTTTCTTGAATACCCAGAGTGTTTAGTTCATGCAACAACAAATTGTTGGTTACTCGGTCAAATGCCTTTGAGAAATCTGTGTGAATAGAATCCACCTGGTGTATATTTTCTAAGGCATTTATTATACAATGTTGATAATAAACTTCAATATTTAAAAGTGTTTTAATTCTAGTGAAGGTGTTATTTGACATTTTCTCTCAATTTGAAATACTAGTTTCAAAATTTTGTTTCTTCGCTGGGAAAGATATCATTTTTTGATAGGACCTGATCATGCAATCTATTTACTCGTGAGAATAGCAAGTTTTGAATCCATTGATTCGAAATGTTTGTACTGATCTCCAAATCTTTGATCTTTTCTGCATCTAGTTTACTGTTCTGTTCCATCAGGATAAACAGCGATCAGTTTTGATATACATTTTTTCAGCAATTTCAAGTTGTGTTTTTATTTTTGAATTCAAATTTGATTCACATCAAATCCTGACTACGTTTACAATTTCTTCGTGAACTCTGTTTTTTATGTTCCATAGCAATGATGTCCACCTTGGACTGCATGTTCCTCTTAGGCTACTGTGGCAGACATTATCGATGCGGCAATGCTCCACCTTGATGCGATACACAAGCGGAGGGTTGAGTACCCTGAGCTGCCTGAAAATCCTCACCACACGGTTACTGTGTGCAGAAGCTAGAATCTCTTCCGTTCACCCCTGTTCGCTTCCGAACAGTCCTCAACCTGTGGTACTTATCTGATGCTTTGTATTCATGATGGTTCCCTGTACCTAGCTGAAGATGTTCTCGGAATGATTTCCCAGGAGAACATCAACGTAGTGGTTAGTAAGATTCAGGTTTCGGTAGATATAACGGTTGGGTATGCATCTAGAAGTTTTCATGGCCATACGTAAGCAGATGTTCATGAACATTTGGATCTGGAATCTGTATGTATCTGCGCACTGGCCCCAAGATGATGGGGAGTAGAATATCAGAAATAGTTTCATTGGAGATACATCTTATTTCTGCGTTCAATGAAGGGGTAGATGTTGTGTCGAGTGGCTTTCGCTAGCCCCAGCCTCTGTGCGATATGGGATCTAAATGTCTGTAGGCTCATAGCACTTAGGCCACATGTGACCCATTGTACATCCTCCCAAGGAGTTGTCCTCCTAGATCATCGTCCATCCTGTTCTTTCCAGGAAGGTGGACAGGTCAATAGGAGACATCTGCTTTATATCGGCAGGTGTAGGCCAAGACTTGCCAAACACACTCTTTTATTAACGATAACTCCGGGCACTCACATAGGACATGCCTGACAGTTTCATGTTCCTATTCACACATCCTGCATAGATGTGTGTTCACTAGCACCATATTATGGAGGTATTTCCTCAGTTGACAGTGGCCGGTCAGTAATCCTACTGTTAAGCGTAGATTGTTCCTGGTCATCGCCAGATATTTCTTCGGCGCCAGCTTCCCAGGGTCTTCCAAGGTGATCATGGCAAGATTGCATCTTATGATTCCACCTCATCTCTTTAGGGATTGATCATGGGTGTAACGTTCGGCTACTTCCGCAATTGTCGAAGTCAGCACGCCGTAGGTGCCACTGGGTTCTGAAATTCTTAGTCCAGCTGCTTCCTTGGCTAAGGAGTCGGCAATACAATTACCTTTACTCCTGTCGTGCCCTTTAATCCACCCCAGGATAATGTTATTATCTACTGAGGCTTTGCGACTCCCAGATATCTTGCTTCGTATGTTCGAAGAATATTCTGTCTGTTGACGACATGTCCCCCACGGTTTATCTTTTTCCAAGAAAATAGTATCATATATCACCCCTTCTTCAATTACTGGAAGAATCTTTATGTGCTGAAGGGCCGGTATCCATGTCTCATTGATCTTCAATCTATATTCCTTACGATTGAACTTATTTTCATGATTATGAACACTGAATTATAAGAAGATACTTTTCTCTACTCAGTTTGTATTTCAAACATTCGTTGTGGAATGAAAATCAGATATCATTTACATGAGTTCTACTTTGAATGAATGGTAACAAATTACACTTACATGGAACACTGTCATCCTCACTGGTATACATCGATGTTTCGTCTTAAGACACTTACCCTAAGGCTCTTCAGTACCGAATTGTATAACATTATAGAAAATACAAACAATTCATCCATGAATTACGATTTTTAATGTCACGGAATAAGCTTGATCTGCTCAAGTGATCGATGGCATCGTAATGACATTCATTCACCTATTTTTGGTGAATGAGTAGTAGAAAGCCAAAAACTTTCTTACCCAAAAATTAATCACTCCTAAAAATATAATCCCTTCAATTGAAATAATTTCTGTTTCTATCACCCTGTTTACCAGATATATATTTCGAAGTACGTCTGTGATGATTTTTCCCGCTTTCAGGTCTCCCTGGATCTTCCCACAGGCGGAGGCAGCTCAACGAATGGCTCTAATAAGCTCTATTCCGACCAGCACAATACAGTGGATTTTAGCGTCGACGACAACGGTTTGTGGATGATATTTGCAGTGCCTGATTCGAACAACACGGCCGTTATGAAGGTTAGCATTATACACTCGACTCAGACAACGAGAATTGAATCTGGATCGGTTGTTACGGAAACGGAGAGAGTTGTATTTGTACTTCGTGTACACGTTTGTGGTCCTGCTAACGTTGGCTCAACTATTCAAGCAGGATTAGGAGTGAGCTAAATTGACAATACGGGTGGCAAGGGCGTCCGTCGAAGGAATACAATGAATGCAGTGTGGAAACTTATTGAGAAAAAAAATTCTAATCTTCATATGAGAAATACATTTTGAAACTTTTTTTTTCAAATCCCATTAATATACAAGGCTATTCAAATTAGTTTCTGTACATGGGGATCTCCTAAACGATAAAAGATAGATAGATAGATAGAAACTCTATCTTCTATCGTTTAGGAGATCCCCATTTATAGAAACGAATTTGAATAGCTTTGTAGTTTATTGCATTATTGCTGTCAGTTCAATGTATAAGTTTGAAAATGTCTTTATAAGACGAAACTGCAGTAACGTTAGTTACAAATAAAAGTGGTGAAAAACACAAAATTTCAATTATCTTTTCTTCATTCTTGCATATCGTTGGGAATTTCTCATATACAAAAGACTTTCAACTTTCTGATTCGAATAAGAATATAGTTTTTATGAAATCATTACCCAAAATACCTGGAATGAACTTTGACACATTAAAAATTTTTTGATAGTCAATATAATCAATATAATGTTTTTTCAGGTGAACATAGAAACGATGAAAGCCCAGTATATTTGGAACATAAGCCTGGACCATCATAAAGTAGGCGAAATGTTCATCGTCTGTGGAGTTTTGTATGCAGTCGACAGTGTGACGGAAAGAAACAGCAAAATACGATTCGCGCTTGACTTGTACAAAAACAACCTGCTCGACGTGAATTTGTCATTCACGAATCCATTCAGGAAAACTACGATGCTCGGTTATAATGCGAAGAGCCAGGTGAGCAGTTGCGAAATAGTCTGGTTTGCGAGTGCTATTTTAGCAAAAATATATCCTCCAAGACCAAAACACTTCTCAAGAGAAATCGCTAATGATTGTTGAAGTTATGAACAATTAAGTAGAAGACAGCGGTTTGCATTTTGCGAATACCTGAAGGAATATTTGAGATATTCCAAAACTCGAAAAAAGTGCTTTAAATAGTAGGAAATTTGCTAAAAAAATTTCACCTATGATAGTAATATCACAATTTTCACAAACATTTTAATATCTAGACGCTAACATAGTACCTTCTTTTGTTTCTTCATGAATAAAAATACTTAGAAAATACATTAATTTTGTAATTCCTTCGATTGTCAATGAAGATGTGAAGAACATAATTTATGTCTAGGAAGATCTTTTCTAAAATCTTCAAACAAATGCTACAAGGAGTGAAAAACCAACTAGTAGCAAAATTAAGTGATTAATGAACACATAGGTAATCAAAAATTGCAGGATAAATATTTCGCCGCAGATTATTATCGAAATCAGCGTTTCCCAAACTTTTTTGCCTGGGGACCCACCTTCATAGTGGATTTTTTTTCACGACTCACATATTGGATAATATTAACTGAATTATCAATACTAATAATATTGTTATTATTATTATTATGCCAGTGGGTCGCAACCACCAGTGGGTCGCAGCCCATGGTCTAGATAATAGTCAAATTGGTTTTTCTCAATATTTAAACTTGATCAGTTCGAATGTCTGATTATGTCCATGTATGCTAATTATGTATTAGAAATCGAAAACTCAATTTTCTCTCAAATTTGACATAAGTCTCAAGAAAGCTTTCATTCTCTTCGTGAGCAGTGCAAATAATGAATTTTGATTGAGACAATCATTATGAGTTTGCATTTCCTGGAAAGTCCCGGGCTCCTGTAGATAAGGCACGTTTAGATAAGCAAGTAGCTAACCTAACCTAACCTAACCTAACCTAACCTAACCTAACCTAACCATATATCTTGCTGCAATACGACTGAGTGTTTCATCATGAAATTGGAATTATGGATTATGGATAATGGCACTTGTTTGAGTAAATTTACGGTTATTTAAAAAAAAATTAGACTTTTCAAATAGTTTTTGATATATACGCCAAAACTAAATGGCTATCCAAACAATTGTTTCAAACTTTTGCATTTCTTGCAGTCCTTCTTCAAAATTTTTCAAACGCTTTCCCGACTCATGAAATACATATTTTCTATAAAATGGCATTTGTTTACTGGACTAGAATTCGTGTAAGCGCTGACTGTGTTATTTATATTGGAGTTGTTGGGAAAACTTTCCGAAATTGTTGCCTATTGTTCGGTTTACTCATAGCTTCGCGGAGTTTTTCTATGCGATGAAGAATTCCTAAAGGGACGATTTTATTCGTTTAATTTTTTTTTAATCACGTTTTTGAATTGATCTTATGATACTTGGAGAATGCTGATAGGAATGAAGAAGGGAAGAAGGAGAACGATATAGTCATATCCAAATATTCATTCGAAAGAAGATTTGCAACCTATGTCGAAAAATAAATGTAATAAAAAAGACTTGTCCCACGTAAAAATGTAGTAATTTTTTCGAAAAGCGATTCAACAAGCGATTTGGCCTCATTAAAAGATAATCGGTACTGATAAAGTCTATTCATATCTAACATGGACGCCTCGATGATACGATGCGCTCTGTGAAACAAGTTCAAATAGTGTTACTTGTCTGACCAACAAACATTTTTCACAATTGTTATAATTTATATTATGATTCTTCACAGTCCCATTAGAATGACTTGGACCGAACCCGTGAATACTCAACTTCTCAAAGAGGATATATTGAGTCGAAATTCATCAAGATGTACAAGGAATTTTTTTTCAGAAACTTCATCGTCTTGGGTATTTGGGCTATTGAAACACAGGAGAACTTCACTTTGGATGAATTCAGATTTCTTTTCGTTTCACCAATTTGAAGTCAATTCCCCTTATTGAGAGTGAAAATATATAGTGGAAGGTACAAACAGTGATTGATGATTTCTCTAAGAGCCCTGAGGATGAATTGAATATAATTCGATACGTTGGCAAATGAAACACTGATTTTCCTACGAGCCCACTAGCCCCTTCACAACTATAAGTTTAAGTGAAAATGATCGAGATTGAATCACAAATCTGAGTATAACTACACTCTTCAGTTGGCTCAAGATTTTACGAATGTGTTGGGTAATTTGTGAAGTATTATTTCCACTCTACCCATTCAACAAAATTGATATCGATGAAGGCACTGAAATAATGAATTCGAATGGAAAAATATCAATATTGCATTAGACTATTTGATTTTTTTGTCCTTTCGATACCTATTCAGAAAAAGCCTCGGTAGATAATAACGTTATTCTGAGGTGGATTAAAGGGCACGACAGGAGTGAAGGTAATCGCATTGCCGACTCTTTAGCCCGGAAAACGGCTGGACTAAGAGTTTTAGGACCCAGTGGCACCTACGGCCTGATGACTTCGACAATTGCGGAACTAGCCAAACGTAACAACCCATGCTCAATCCTTAAAAAGATGGGATGAAATCAAAGGATGCACTTCTGCCAGAATCACCCTGGGCGACCCTGGGAAGCTGGCACCGAAGAAATATCTGGCGATGATCAGGAAAAATCTACGCTTAACAGTAGGATATGTGACTGGCCACTGTCAACTAAGGAAACACCTTCTCAATATAGGGCTAGTGGACACACCTCTATGCAGGATGTGTGAACAGTAAGATGAAACTGTCAGGCATGTCTCATGCGAATATCCGGAGTTATAGTCATTAAGAGAATGTGTGTTCGGCGAGTCTTGGCCTACACCTGCCGATATAAAGGAGATGTCTCCCAGAGACCTGTCCACCTTCCTGGAAAGGACAGGATGGACTATGACTTAGGAGGACAACTCCTTGGGAGGATGTACAATGGATCACATGTGGCCTAAGTGGGCAACCACTCACTCTCCCTACTCTACAGATACAGAACTATTCAGAAATCAAAGAACAGTTTTCTGGCAGCTGACATTAACGCCTGCTTGTATATTTAGCAAACATATATCTGCACGATGAAAAGAGAAATGAAAAGTTCTATGTTTTTTACCACTTTTATATGTGGTAAAAAAGTGGTAAAAAACATTTCTCTTTTCAGTATGATCTCCTACCACATAGTAACGGCTACATTCATCAATTTATTTACCTGCACATTTCTGAAAACTAAACCAACAAAGTTTATCTTTATTTTTCCTTGCAACTTGTCCAAACTCACTTCACGGCATTATTGAATTTATCTTATCCTGTTGCGATACGAGTTTTTTCTTCTGAAAAACTTCACGTAATTCAATTTAGTGCTGAATACTATTTTTCCAGGAACTGTATTCGTGGGATAAAGGAAACCAATTAACGTATCCAGTTCGATATCACGATATAGGGTATAATGTGACAGGGAAAGAGGATAAAACTGAATCAGCAGATGGATTACGATAATCCCAACCCAACGGAGAAACGGCGAAAAGTGACACGCGCTATACAGGGTTCGACGACTTTCAAGGAATAGGGGAATGTTTGGAAGAGTTTTTTATTTGTAGGCGTTTCTGAATGGGGTGGATGATATTGTATAGTTATGGAAGAAGTATCTTTGTGAATCAAAATTTTGAAATAAAACGTAGTTTGAAACTGATCTTTTATTTATATTGTTCACCTGTAGATTTTGGAAACTTTATGTTTATGATGGAAGGATGTGAATCCTGTGGCATTGAAGACATTGGGTAATGAGCAGCAACTTCAGAGTGATAATTGAATGGCAACCTCACTATTAAAATATGCAGTGAATCACAACTGATAATTATGAAACAGTGAAAATTGGCGAATAATGCAGTATTTGGAGAAACAACAGAAATTAATAGCAGAAGATCACTGAGAAAGAAAGCAATAGTCTTTTCGAAATGTGTCTCATTCTTGAATTGTTTCGACATATTTAAGAGGGACCGTTTTAGGATATCAGTTTATTGTTTGAGACTTTTTTACATTTTCCGTAATGAGGGTTGCCAGCCATGAAGAGAAACAGTACTTATCAGGTATGATAATTTATCGAAACTTGTTTTGATAATTTCGATCCTATTCCCGATGTAGTCTTGATGTTTACTCTACAACGAATCACTGATAGCATATGAAAGTTTCCATACGTTCCTGAAAACATCAACTCCCCTAGAATTCATAATTGAAGTTGAAAATAACAGCTCACTGCGATTTTGGAACGTCTTTATTATAAATTCCAAATAATCGCTACCTCAATTTTAAATGACATCATCATTGTACCCAATTCAATTCTGTTTTGAATTATCTCATATACAGAACTATCAGAAACATTGAAAACCACAGTAGATCAAAGGTAATCCTTCCTTTGAACTATGATCAATTTAACTAGTTTAGCGATCAAATAATTTTTCTGAAGATAGGTTGTTTGAGTAACAAGATCAATATTTTCTTGAAAATTTAATTTGATTCGAATCATTTATTCTTTTCATTACAGTTTAAATTACTAAATTATGTTTTATTGTCCATAATTCTATCAACAGTATATAATACTTGTTGAATGACATCTTGAAATTCTAAAGGAATAGTGAAGAAAACAACTATATGCAGTAGTTTCTTTCAGTCAAAAACGTGCGTCTTTAAAATTGTCAACGTCAGAAATATTACAATGATCATAATTAATTTCTCTCTCTCAATTTTACATCCAGAGGTTATGAGTATACGTATATTCTATTCGAAACAAATTTTTCCTGCCTAAATTTTTTCTAGTAGAAGTTTTTCGAATGCCATCTGTTTTGCTTACATTTACTTACAAAAATGATCTTGCAGAGAAAGGAAATACTCAAAGCAATAAAAGGACACGAAGATGAATCGAATTGTCAAATGCAGGGTTTTCATATTCTGTCCCAGATGGCACTATGCAGTTGAGTAATATAGATCAATAATGAGAGAAACTTCTTTTATCCACTAGAGGTCTCTAGCATTAATTTTCGTAACCCTTTCTTAAGTTAGCTGTACAATATGTCTATACTGCATATCCTGAAGTTGGATTTCTAACAACCGATGTTATTCGGACCAAAGTTACTGCCTTTTGAAACCATTATCGTCGGAACCGTATTCTGATTAAATTAGATTATTCTTTGCAAAATACAACAAAATTTGTATTTCGACTTGATGTTTAAAGTTATGGCGCTTCTAGATTTTTCTGTACGCCAAAATTTGGACATACTATGATATGAATCATATTTAAAATGATCAGGTTGAAGAATTTGCAATATCCTACTTCGAAGAAACTTTGAGACTGAATAAAATCAAAAACATCATACTGGTCTTTGATTTACATGAAAATTATGTTTCGTAGTTGGGTCAAAATACATTGATTAGAAAAATACATTATTTTCATTATTTTATTGGAGTAAAATGCTACTTATGTATGAACGATGATTATTTAAACATCTACAATTTACTTTCAGTTATACGACCTGAATGGTTTTCTCTACACAACCTCAACCGATTGGAGCCCCAAGAAGATGTAATTTCTTTCAGGTGAGTCAAAATAATGATATCAGAAGTTATATTATTTTGATGAACCTAAGTCTGAGTCAAGATACAAGCTGAAAAAAGTAAAGTTCAGTGATATCTCTTTTATACCACGGGCGTTGTTGAAAAGAAGCAATCAAATACCCTACTGCTGAGAGATGTGGTTATAATTTAGACAGAGATGGGAATTTTCCATATAAAAGAAGATCATGAGATCATATCAGATAAAGGAGATGAGTGGATGAAATTCTTTGTTTTTTGATCCAAAACTTAAATTCTTTCAAATTAAATCATGAAAGAGGTAGATGTTTTGCAAATCAAAGGAAGAGCCATATCACAGACCTCACCAGAAGACTAAATCTTCAAAAATATGAATTGATAGATGAATTTTGAACCACCAAATGACGTTCATGAGAGGTAATTAGATTCAATAACTTTTGGTGAATAAGGGTGGAATTGAGAAATATTTATTGCTTTTTTTTTCATCCGAAAAGTTTGAATATGACAGTAGGGGCAAAGAGATTGGGTCAGATTAAGAAATGTAGACTACTGAGTGGGTGGAAGGGGATTGACAATACATACAATATTTATGTTACCGATTTAATTGAAATATAATAACAATAATATAATAAAAAACTAAAAAATATTAATAAAATTAAATCAGCGCCTCCAGAGGGATATTGCAGTATAAAAATATAATATAAAATTCACAGTCAGCGTAATTATTTCCTGTTAGCGGGCCGCCCTTTGGGGGGAGCCCCCGGCTTGGGCTTGTTGAACTGGTAGGACGAACATTTGGGGATGTGCCTCTCAGCCGCAGCTGCGTTGAATCTCCTGCCGCAGTGGGGGCATTGCACGTAGTCGGGGTTGCTGGAAGGGGGAGGGGGAGGCAAGTCCGACAGTTTCCCACCTTTTGCAAGGTGGGCTTGGGCTTCCTTGGCCGATCGAATGGCAGCGATAAATTCCTCGTGGGTGCGTCGCCAGTCTTTTTTAGGGGGTTGTTTCGAAGACTGTAAAGAACAAACGAATTAGATTTTCCACAAGACCTTGACGTAACGCCGTGACATAACTTATTTTGAAACGGAGTTTCAAAAAAATCATACAGTGTGACCTATTTTGCAATTGGACACTTCTATGAAACATGAACTTTTCAACTAATTGAATTTTAAATTTCACTAGTTCGGACTTCCATTGTCTAAGTAAAATGATTTGAAATCCCCGAAACAACTGAAAAAGGAGAAAAGGAGAATTAAAAATAAATAGCTGAAAATTACAATTATATTAAGCAAAAATAACCTGAAACCTGAATGAAATAATAGTGAAATAAAATACAAGTAAAATAAAAACGATTGAACAAAAAATAAAGAAATACAAATAAATATGAGTAAAAAAAGTTAAGAGATTCCAAGCTACGTTAGTTTACGACGTTTCGATTGTTAGTATCTACAATCGTCTTCGGGTAATGACTGATGAAAGAGAAAACGAATATACCTATAGCAGTAATTATGGAATTACTAGGATGTTGTGTACGAAACTGTTATTTCCAACTGAGGGACGAATTCTTTACACAGGATGAGGGACTGCCAATGTGATCGCCACTTTCACCTGTTATAGCCAATATATATATGGAGTGGTTTGAAACTCTGGCCATTGAAGAAGCCCACAAGAAACCTCGGGTCTGGTTGAGATATGTTGACGACATCTTCATAATATGAAACCATAGGAATACTGAACTAGATGCCTTCTTGAAACACATCAACAGCATGAGACCTTCCATCACTTTCACAATGGAGAAGGAAATCCACAACGAATTGACATTCTTAGGTTTGGTGAAGAGGACCGACACTAAGTGGGAAACATCTGTATACCGAAAACCCACTCATACGGGACAGTATCTGAACCACGAATCCAACCACCATCAATCAACTAACAGAGGAATCATCAAGACTCTATTAGACCGTGCTTTCGGGCTCTGTAGTACGAAGGAAGGTCTCAAGAAGGAACTAGACATCATCAAAAATTATCTTCAACGGAATGGCTACTCCAAAGCGATGGTAGAAAAGACTTTGGCTAGAAGACAGCAGGAGCCTCGCAAGGAAGAGAAGCCCTCACAACCAGTGCTTGCACTTCCCTACATCAGAGGATTATCGGAGAGGATAAGAAGAATTGGTTCCAAGTACAACATCAGAAAGTTTGTTTGAAGGCGATTGACAACATCAGAACCTGCTTCAGATCTGGTAACACTATCCGTAGCAGCCTCACGAAAACCAGGCCACCAAACGCGGACTGCGAATCCAAGAATTGCATTTACCGGATACCCTGTGAGTGCGGAAAATCCTATATTGGTGAAACTAAGAGCAATTGAAAGAGTCCATTTGAACATCAAATTATATGAATGGGTTCTCGGTTTCAAGGATAACTTCTGATTTTTCTCTAAAGCCAAGTACTTTCTGCTCGGTACTGATGATGCCTAACAAGCTGAAATAGCTCACTACCGATGACTCTTAGATTGAAATCAAACTGTAAATGATCGGAATAGTACTTACTCATCTATTTTATTTTCACGAAATATTATTTTCCAGCAGCTTGACTGATTAGAAACCGCTTACTGAATCAAAAAAGGGGTTTGAGCTGCTTTTTTGGCTGGTGAGGGCGAATTTAATAGTTGGGTTGGATTAGGTCTGAAGTGACTGGGTCTATTCGACCCTCCACCGCAACCCGCAAGGGTTTATTGTGGCTCACACCTCTTCACACTCGACCACATAAACCCAGCTTCCTAACGAAGCCGATTAGTTTCTATGGTGAATGGTCTTTCAAGTCAGATGGTAAGAGTACGGCTCTGCCAAACTCCAAAACTCTGATTCGGTTCCCAGCGGGGCAGGCACAAAGTATATGCTCTGCTGTTTCATCATTTTCCAAACCTTCCAGGCCTGTATGGCCTGGAATCCAGACCAGAGGCAATTTGTTAAGTCTTCCTATGGGTGAGAGTCGTTTTTGACAATTTAGACGTTGATCGGTAGGAGTCAAGAACTTGCAACGCCGCTTGACTGCCCGAGAATATTTCTATTGATTTGCGTATGAGGTTGGATCCTCCCAATCTCTCCGCACACAATTCAATAGCGTAAATTTCCGCTTGGAACACAGTCGCATAGGTTCTTAGGCAGTTTGATCTCTCTGTGACTGAAAACACCTGCACCGGAAACGTAAGGAGTTTTTGATGCATCTGTGAACCAACAACTATCTGCTCTCAAAATTTCCTTCTCCCGGAGGAATTTTATAGTACGTCACTAGTCAATTGTTCAGACGTTGGAGATTAGAAGGATCGACGATATCTGTCAATATAGGGTTGGGGTACCATTTCAGCTTCAATTTCAGTTCTGGTGTAAGTAAAATTTTGTCAAATTTCATTAGATTTCTTTGCCGTGTCTTCTTTCATGTTTCTTTCATGTTTTTTTCCCGATATCCAATCACGTTACAAGTAAAACTTGAGTAATGTATTTTGAATTTTTTGATGAGATGATAATATACCTCAAGAAACCAACGATATTTTCTCAAACATGAAAACAAAATATTGAGTAAGTATAAAAAGCAGAGATTCATTGGTCAATTCCAATAATGTAACAGTTTCTGGAAAGATTAATAAAACTTTGCAATTGAGGCTAAATCGATTTGAACTACGTACGACCGACAATTTCCTGAATTTACATGCAATGGAAACCCACTACTATCTATGATCTTCGCGTCAATACTCACACTTGCGGCGCATTTTCCAGAATTGGGTTAAAGACATGACAAATGAAATGCTTGAAATAATTCACTAGGTCATTATTCCTCCCAGGACACGCACAGTTTGGACAATCGTGAAGATGTAGGAGAAGTAACCATTAAGTATATAATTTTGAGTTGTGAGAGTTGAAAAGCTTGCATTTCAACAATCTCGAGTTTTTCTGCATTCTGTCGTTATTCTCTACCACTTTCTATTGTCTTCTGTCTTTTTATTGTAAAACCGATTCCTCTTATCGTATATTCATCCCGATTTACTTAAATACTATGGTCGCAGCTGCTGTTATTTTTTTGCGCATTTCAATTTTTGTAGGTCTCTTCACCTTTGAAAGAAGTTTATTCCATTACTCACCTTACTGCTAATCTGCGACGGTTTTGCCTTCCCAGGTTTCAAGACGTACGACTCCAGCTCGGTTCCGAGTACTCGGTGTTTTGTGGCATCGTAAGCTTTCCTCTTCTTCTTTCCCGTCTTGGAGCAGATGTCTTCGTGCTTCTGGATCCGGTCCGCTGCGAATCTGCGGCCGCAGAAATTACATTCTGCTAAATCATCGCGGACCACGGGCGATTTAGCGGATTGCTTGGCAGAAGGGCGGGTGTTCAGAGGAGCCTTGGCTGAAGATTTTGCCTGTAGAAATAGAAAGTTAATTAGAAAGCGATGCTAGGAGGATTTAGATGAGAGTCGTGGTTAATTGCAGATAAGTGGTGATTACCAGAATAAGAGAGCACCGGATTCACAGTGGAATAGAATTCGACCGCAATTCAGATTATTTTAAGAATCAATGAATTCTGTCTTCAAGAGAAAGCTGAAAGCTTTCGTGTTGGTTTCACTGTGAGATATTTCATTTCTCATATCTTCTGGATCATAAAATCATTATTACTTATCTTGATTGTCAGCAATAACAGAAAATATGTCTCTATGCTTATGCTTCTAAAAAAATGGAGAGAAAAAAGGAGAGAGAGAAGAAAAAAGATGGGAGACAAGAGGAAAAACGGCGAAAAGAAGAAAATATAAGAGGAAAGAGAGAAGGGCCGAGAAAAAAAATGAATGATAAAAAAGATAGAAAAGACAATAAAATAGAAAAATGAAATAAGGAGGAGAAAAGACAAGCAAACGAGTGAAGAGAAAAAGTGGGAAGAAAAGAGAAAGAAGTGGGAGAGAAGATAAAAGAGAAGAAAGGGGACAGAATGAAGATGAAAGAGGAAAGTGGGACTGAAAAAAGAAGAAAAAAGTGGAAGAAATAAAAGAAGAAACAGTTGAGTTGAACGCGGGAAGAAAAGAGAAAGAGAAAAGGAGAAAGAGAAAAAAGAGTGCAAAGGAAAAATAGAAGCGATGAGAGAAGCAAGAGACGAAAGAGTACATAAAAAAGTGAAGATAGAAAAAAGACAATGAAAAGAGGAAAGATAAAAAAGAAAGAAGCAAAGAAAAGAGAAAGAGGAAATATTGAAAAGGAAAGATGAAAAAAAGAAGAGGCAAAAAAATAAAAATAGAGAGAGGAAAGATTGAAGATTGAAAGATTGATGAAAGGGAAAATAGATCAGAGTAAAGTGAAGAGAGAGAAAGAAAAGAGGAAAAATTAAAGAGATTAGGAAATGAGAACAGAGAACACTGAAAAGAGAAAATAGAAGAGATGAAAAAGAAAAAAAAGAGATAATAGGAAAGAGACAATGACCTCACGAAAATGAGAAAATGATTCTTCAATACAATAAACGACTCATTTATCATATCTAGAAATGTGAAGATCATGATCGAAGCTTACTCTTATAATAATAGATTCTTGAATCGAATGAAGAAGTTATTCTCAATTTCCAGGAACTTATCCTAACAAATATCAGAAAACATAAACATTATCTCAGATGAACGTCCATTCTTTATTTATTATTATTCTGTTATTTTACAGCAATAGGTACCTATAGAGTAACCAACAATAGATAAAACTATGCGCCATACAGACAAGCTGAGCTTATCATGCTGTTTGCTAAAAAACAGGCGAAATTCATATCACAACTGATATTACTTTGTGAATTTGGAATCAAAACAGAAGAAAATATCTGGAAATTTGTATTTTAAAAGAAAAAACCACCATTGTATGACTACCGTTGGGCAATATTATTGGGCAATGCTAGTATGTAGGCAATGCTAACATTTTTTCTTTTCAAAATACATACTACTGTTTCTTTGAAAAGATAGGTAAACTATTTTGACAGGCAATATCTTTAAATTCATGAGAGTATGAACAGAAACTGCTCAATTCTCAACTCAAACAACAAACTGAACAGACAAATCAAAGGAAAAAAACAGATTATCATCTAAACTAAGTAACGCTGACTATCACCCGATATGATTCAAATATTTCAAAAAGATTCTGTTCTGAATAAAAGCTGAACAAACTGAATTGATTTGTCTCACCTTATCACCCATCGCTGGTTTATTATTTGATGTCCTTGAAGGAGTACGAGAAGTTGTACTAGATATTCTAGGAGAGGGAACTGTTTTCGTTACAGAAGATGTTGTTTTTGACGTTGGTGTTGTTCTGTTGTTAGTGATATTCTTCTTGACGATAGGCTGGAAATGTAATGTAACGTTACCTTCGTTGAGGAATAATTAACGTTTCTTTATGATTGTAAAATTATTTCTTCCAGAGGAAAGTTTTTACTGGAAGTGACAGTAGCATTTCATTTGGATACACAAAAATTTTGACAGGTCTGTTGTTTTTGACGTTTTTCATAAAGTCAAGATGTGATAGTTGACGTCCAAGAGTTCTCTGACGCTAATCAAAAGTTGATAGGGCAATGTGATTGGAAATTTGATTTGACTGTTGAATTTTGAATACCTAAAACTGTTTTTTAAAAATTATTCCTCATTTCAAGGCATTATCAAAGACCAAACTGATATCAAGGGGAGGAATAATTAGAGATGAACCCGACTGATTTTGAAAATCATTTCACCTACAGATAAATCGACAATCAGCAAGTACTATGAGTTGTATTTTATTTTCAAAAAAATTGAAGGTCTCTAGAAAAATTGCCATGATGTGACCCCAGGTACAAAAAATTGCCTAAGTAATTATTCAGTGTGCCATGTGATGAGAGTAGATTCACAAATAGCAATAATTTGATCAACTACTTTGGAATTATTCGAATCGAAAGACAACTTCACTTTGATTTCATCGAGAGCCTCTGCACTTTCCATCAAATTTTCAAACTGACTACCTCATTGAGAATATATGCTCAAGACTCATACAAACGGAGAAAGTATTTCGAAGGACGAAGGGTCAGCGAACAGGGCAGATTGAAAGGTTGACTTTCACATAACCCTGCAACCTATGCAAAATACAGGCTACTCTGTTCTTCGATTATATCAGACATTCTAATGAAAGTCCTATTACTTTGCTCGATAACACGCAAACTTCTCCGAAGTTTCGTGAAAACTCCTGAATAAATTATGAAAACGGTGAGGTCAAGGTCGAAATGCAGGACAGTGGAATCATTGAGGTATCACCATTTATGAATAAGTACAAATAATTTTTGTATCAAGAAGGAGAAGTAGAAAGTCAAAACCTTTTTTTTTGCTACAGATGATTTGTTTTTTTTCAATCATAAATTCATTACTATTTCTATCTATACAGGGTGTCTCTAATTCGATCCTCACTATTGGGATCTCGGAAACTATGAGAGATACGAAGTTGGTTAAACTGGGGCAAAGTTGCGCATTTACCTGACTAACAATATGCCGTTGAGAAAGTTCTGAAATTCCGAGTATATCCGGAGATATTTCGGAAAATGGTATTTATTTTCTTCTGGCTTTAATTTTTGAAGAATTCGAAAATAAATGACATTGTCACATTGCCACTTTTTTCTGCTACATAATAGTTTTTCAGATTTGCTATCCGACGTTTCGTCTTCCGGTCCCAATCATCAACTTTATTATTTCTTATATATCTATATTTTTCTTATATATTAACAAAAAATACCTACTTCTTGGCACGATTACTGTTAAATACAGCAAGGACTACAGTTCGAACATTCAAAATAAAGTCATGTATTTATTACTGGATTACTTTTCCATTGTTAAATTATTTATTAGAAAAAAATATAAAGTAATTAATTAATTTCTACTTTTATTCACACATCTTTCAAATTCTGCCCGTTAGTATCATACCTTTTTGTAATCAGCTCCTTACAGATTATCTAAAACCGACATCATATACAGGGTGTTGCATTTAAACAATTACTGATGATGTCATCACATTAATATGTGTTTGATAAAATTTTGTTGTAAAATGTTGAATATTAAAATTAAAAATCGACGTGATTCAGGTTTTTGTAAAACGATCTTTGGTTTTGAAAATATCGAGCTTATTCCATACTTCGCGGACACACTGTATACAAGCATAATTTTTTTCATAGTTTCCTTATCGTTTTACTGTCAAAAATAGTACAGAGGTGGAAAAGATCTTTTAAACAAGGTGTCACCTGTCTGTTAATAGATCTGATAGTTTGTTTTTGGGAAAGAACATTTTTGGCTTTCCTGCTACTGCATCTTGATACAGAAAAATATGTTTCAATACTGAAAGTACATGTAAGTTTAGATATCTTCCAAAGTTTTCGCAACATAACTTGTGCATCTAACTATTATCAACTCACTGTACATCAATAATAGTATAGATTCCAATACAATAGCTGTTTTTTGGATATTAATTTTTTTTTTGGTATAGGATATGATATATTGTAGTATCAACTGACCCTGTGATATCTATAAAAGTTACAACCTATCCTACGTTCATTGAAAAATTTCGTGACAGCTTGATTACATATACCATTCTCTTCTCGAACGATTGCAGAAAGTCAACAAAGACGATTCCACATGAGTGAATCGAAAGTACATAATTTGAACAAAGTTTTATTGATTGTGTTGATTGACTCTGGTGTCTGGAAATGAAGTTCATTGTACCATGTTATTTCCTCTCTTTGTTCTTGCAGTTCATTTACGTTTCAAAATATATCTCCTTTAGTCAAGGGAATGATTCTTTCTGAAGTTAATGGAAAATGTACGGCCAAATAATTACTGTTATGAACGGGATAGGCGTATCCAATAACAATGAAAACATTTAACATCAATTTCATCATTTTGTCAACTTGGAGAGATTTTTCAAACAATTGCCCCAGATGGCTAGGTTAGGTCTAAAGTGAGAGGGTCTATTCCACCCTCCACCGCAACTCGCAAGGGTTTATTGTGACTCACACCTATTCTCACTCAACCAAATAAAAAACTAATCAATAGAGTTTGTTCTATGATTTTTACTATAAGGGTTTTACAAAAACCGCGACACGTGTTTCGCTATACAATAGCTTCTTCAAGCATAACTGAGAGTTACTTCTAAATTACAACCTTAAATATTATAGCCTAGTATCTATTCGTCTACCTAAGTAGTGAATCTACCTGAAAAAATGTACCTGAAAAAGTCAGGTATCAATACATTTTTCGAAAGTCTACCTGACTATTATAACCTGCATATGAACAGATTCAATAATGGCGAATTATTCAATTCGCTATTCAACAATGGCTGTAAAAAATAAAATCCTTAAACTTTCTAGGCAAAAATACGAATCGAATGACACCTTGGTCGTAATTTTTGGACAGGGCTGGAAAATGTCACCAAAAAGAGCTAAATCGAGTATATGTGAACCAGACTATGCTTTCTGAACTAATAAGGCTGAAATATCACTGAATCCAAAAAAAATCAGTTATTTTTTTTCTAAGTTGTCAGTAGTATTTTATATCATAACTTTTGTCGAAATATTTCAAAACAAAAGAAGGGAGGACATACTCCCTTCGTATCTCCCCCAAACTCTTCTCCAATACGTGAGAAAATTTCGAAGGTGGATCAATCCCGAACTGAATTTCATTAAAATCCAGTAATATTTAGTAACTTGCCCTTATTATTCGATTCATTCCAAACAGATTTTAGATTTTAGGAAAACGAGAATCCATAAAATGTCAAGCATAATTTGAATTCCTCTCTGAATAGCATACAGATAATATAAGATAAATTATACTCTCGACTCGAGTGACTCAGACCAACAATGCGTCACCAACAAGAACATCTACCATTTTGATAAAACTCACCTTAGTTTCTCTCTTAGCCACTGGCGGAACATTACTTTTCTTCTTCTGCTCCTTAATCACCACCACATCATCAGCTACCTTCGTCTCCAAGCACGGATCGTCAACTTCATCGAACCCAATCTGTGGCATCACCTCGTTATCCAAACTGTCATTCAGGTTGTGATTGTTCATCATGTCTATCATCTCCCTATGCGACTTTGAATGATGGTTGTCTTCACCTTCATCTTCGTACCTATGTTCCTCATAAGACTCGTTGCCGTTGACGTTGTTGTATAGCCTCTGCACAACCTCGCGCTTCTTCACCAGAGGTTTTCCGTTTTTCACAGAGGTGATATTACTCTGGACAGTAGATCTGACCGTGGTCTTGGTTATCAGGTTTTTCCTCTCCAAGCTTCCTCCTCTGGGGTTTACTTTCGGTTTCAATGGTTCCAGGGGGTAGCTCTTGTCGATTCCAGCCTTTTGTCGCCTCTCATCGAACATTTGTCGGACTTTTCCACCTCCGGTGGATCCCAAGCTGGTATTGCTTCCTGCGCTACCTCTTCCAACCCTCTCGAAGGCTCGCTGCTGCTGGTTTTCGTAGAGTTTCAGGAGTTTTTCCTCTCTTTCTTGCATCTGCTTTTGTTGAAAACGAGCCTGAAACGAAATGACCTGATAGAGATACGTTGGCAGGATTTCATAACTTGCTACACAGTTTGATATTTTCTAAGACGAACAAAACCTGATAAAATCGATCAAAGAACGGAATAATGTATGTTCTCAAAAAAACAATTCACATTAAAGTAATAACAAGCCTGAAAAGTCAATTTTATGGTGAAACACGTGTCCAATGCTATTTCTTTGTGGTTGATAGTAGGAAAGATTAACAGATGTACTCAGAGACAAGAGAGGGTCCTTCAAATTTTGAAAAAACATGAATGTGAGGTTCTAATGAAATTTTGAATGAGGTATGAGAATGAATATGATCTGAAACAACAACGTATTATCTCAGGGCTAGCACACCACCTATGTGAGTGTCGGGAGTTATCGTCAATGAGAGAAAGTGTATTCGGCGAGTCTTGGTCTACACCTGCCGATATAAAAGAGATGTCTTCTAGTGACCTGTCCACCTCCCTGGAAAGGACAGAATGGATGTTGAACTAGAAGGACAACTCCTCGGGAGGATGAACAATGGGTCACATGTGGCCTAAGTGCTGTGGCCTTACACTCACCCTCCCTACTCTACAGATACGAGATACAGATGATCAGAAACAATTTGATGTTTTGCAAAAAATTGAAGAGTTGAGTTCAATCCAGTTACCGAGATGAAATTTGTCGTTTCTAGGCAACCTTTTTATACCTCAATTTCCCAACTTTGTGTGGCCATTATTTAGATGGTGATTTGAAAATAAATTATGAAAATTCACGAACATCTCGATATATTACTTGAATAATTTTTCAAAAGCTTGCCAGAGATAACCAGAGTTGTTTCAGTTATAACTGAAAACACGAATGAAAACTGAAAATCTTACTCCAAGCTTCCTCAGCTCCAGCGCTTCTTGCAAACTTCTTGCCGCCCAAGAAGTTTCAAAATCTAACGACACTACATTGTTCAAACTAGAAGATAAGTATCTGTTCATTTCTGAAACTCAACAAAAACATCACATAATACGTTTGCCACTCACAATGCATTAACTGTTTTCCCAGAACGTCATGATAACACTGCCGGCAATCATGCTGACGTGTGAGAATTGACGAGGCTCCCTATCAATAAACCCTGTTATGCTTTCACCCCCCTCTTGCAAACATGCGCTCTCAGGGGTTGGAGGTGTGGGAATCGGACGGCGGTCAGTGGGTTAGTGTCTCAAACGTCGACGAGGGAATTCGGAAATTTATTACACGATTTTTGCTTGGTCTGTCTTTCGATATTTTTCACGTGAATTGGAATCTGCAGAGTAGGGAGGCCACATATGATGACCTGAGGAGTTGTCCTCCTAGGTCATCGTCCATCCTGTCCTTTACAGGAAGGTGGACAGACCACTAGGAGACATCTCTTTTATATTGGCAGATGTAGCCCAAGACTCGCTGAACTCACACTCTCTTTGGCAACCTTGAGGTATCTCACGGTGGCCTCCGTGGAGGTTTTGGCAGGTGCAGCGACATCACTGTCGCGGTAGATTGGTGTGGACATTTCTGTTCATCCCCAGCTACCGCCTTAGATTGTGGTGAGCACTTCTGTCCAGTCTCGGGATTGGGTTTTGTTTTTGTTGTTGCTGTTTTTGTGTTTATTTCATTTATGTGTGTTCCCACGAGTACCAAGGGAAGAGTTGACACCTCTGACATAGCCACGCTTTATCAGAGGTAAGCTGATCACAATGAGGTTTCGTCCAGTTTCAAAAGAGGATCGTTCGTAACCGCTTATTATATTTATTTCTATTGTATTTGTACCTGTTTTATTCAAACCTTTACTAATTGCCAGTTTTTATCTATACATCATTAGTTATGCTTATATTTATAACTACAAAGCTTTGTCGATGGGATACAAAATCTTCTGACAATAAAGTATATTTTGATATCACCCTGCGGCTACTCAGTTGTCGGCACGATTCCTTACACCTTAGCTTGGGTAGGCCGGTCCACGGTGGCATGTTTTGCAAAAGCTTTTGGAGTTTAAGTTCCCCTCACCCTACTTATTTCTGCCTCTGACCAGGATTCCGGCGACCCCCCCGCAAGGCCACATTGGCTTCCCGGACAGGGCCTTCATTTCCCTGGACGTTCCCCTATCCTCCACCTAGGGACGCGCTCGATAGGTAGCCCAACCCACGGGATAGGTTCACTAATATTATGATTGATTCAATCAGCATTCTAAACAAAATCCCAATTCATTATAAGGGGTTCAATCGAAAGAATTTCAAATAATCTCAAACCAAATTTTTGCAACTGTTCCAATTTGGGGGTTTTATTTCCATTTATTGTTTTTTCTCATTTATTTTATTTCTGCTGCCACCTATATCATCTATGGGGTATGAACAAAAAAAGCCAAAAAAAAATTGTATATAGATATCACACTGAAATCACATATAGCTAATATAAATGAAAACATTCAGGTTATATAATAAAACAATCGCAACAGGTACATTGCGTGGAATATCACTCGCACATCAATCAAACAAACACCCTATTCTTTTTAAAATGAAACAGACAAACAAACCATGGAGAAATTGACCTACAGATTACACAATTGTAATCATATACATTTTCTACGGACATTCATACATTGTAGTAGTATGTATTTTTCACATCAACATATTGGTGTATCTGTGCTCTGGGCAAACTTGAGATCCAAGCTTCAAGCTTATTTTTGAACATATTAATGCCAACGATAGTTTCGATATATGGTAGAACAAGAGTATACCACCGAGGAGCTGAGTAATTATTCTTCTGTGATTTTGGTACATAGGTTGAATTCATTTTGTGGCAATTTTTTTAAGTTCATGTTTATTTTTGTGTTGCCTTATAACAGTAAAGTTGCCTTATGTCTAAAGTTAATATTTTCTTATACAGCGCTTGTGTGGGGTAAGTTCTTCTTTTATTTGTAATTATTTTCAGAGTTAATTTTTGTATTCGTTCTAGGAGTTTTATATGAGTAGTACTTGCTGTTCCCCAGGCAACTATTCGTAATTTTTTACCAATTAGTTAATATGTTCATCCCTTTCAAATGGGCATCTATATATTTACTAAGATACTTTATTTTATTTACTGAAGAAATAGTGAGATTCACATTATCATATTTTATAGTGTGGTAGTAGTGATTCGAAACTTGGTAAATGGCTAGCATAAGATGTGAAAGGTGATGTAATATGTTTTGGCAATACTAATACCCAGTAGTTTACTTTAAAACTATTGAATTATAGCTTTGAAATTTTTTCAACCTTTCCTTTCAGGCAGTTCCACGTTTCCGATTGGTAAATAACTACTGTGTCATCTGCGAAGCTTATTATGTCCCCTTCCACATCTAGCACAAAAAGATCATTTAGGCAGATATTGAAGATAATTCGATCCAGAAATGTCCCTTGGGGTACACCATATTGTACTATTCGAGATTCACTGAAAGTGTTTTTGATTTCCACACATTGATTCCTTTCATGGAAATAACTATAGAGGAGTTGGTGGGATGTTTCTCTGAATCTAATACTCTCAAGTACCTCTAGAAGTTGATCATGGCGTACTGTATCAAATGCTTTTTTCAAGTCTACAAATATACATAGAGATGATGATTTTTCGTCTTACATATTTACTAAATTTATTAGTGAGCAGTGTTATTGCGTCTTCTGTTGATTTCGAATAAAATAAAATAATGTGGGTGTGTGATATCAAGCTTCTGTATTCGTTCGAAAGACCTTTTAATACAATAAATTGATGGATGCAGCCGTTACTACATGGTAGGAAGTCATATTGAAGAAAAGGGAATTGAAACTTTCAGGAACAATATAATTATTCTATGTGGACACGTACTACTATAAATATTACAGGTATTCTCTCCCTATGAGTAGTATTCCTCAGAAGACAGTTGACCATTTGACCAAAACCCTGTAGATATATTATGGTAGTAGGTCTTCACGAGGGTGGTTCTTTTTTGATAACATAGAAAACCTGGGATTATCAAAATTTTTTTGCCCAACATATGGTCTGGAGTAGGATCAATCTTGATCCACTAGGATTAAGGCAGCACATTGAAATATCGCACTTTTACACTCTCTCTAGCATGGAAACTAACTGCGATTGATTGAAGTATGTGTTCTTCAAATGACCCTTTATGGAGAATTTTGTTTTGAAGTGGGTAGAGAGACTTCCTCACATACCTAATGATTTCTGTTGATAGACTCTGCGGATTGATATCGCAAAGAATATTTTCAAACGGGTCTGATGATGAATAATAGGATTGTGAATGTCCTATCATTAGGTAATTTCTCCGCAACACTTTCCATAACAAACTATTGAGTGTTCAGTTCATTTCCGAACTTCACACTAATGAAGTGTCTAAAAGAGGCCACATTGAAGCATACATTTAAACCCAATTCTCTCGTTGTCCATCTGTTCCGAGTGAACCCAGTTAATGCGTGGAAACATAACAGAGTAGGAGAATTTTTCGGCATTCAAGTCGGCAAATATGGCGAAGCAATTTACATAATTATCATGTCGCCCGGATTGAAAGACATGTGAAAGTTGACATTGAAATGCAGTTGATTCACCTTCTGGTTCGTTAATGATCTGTTCTGGCATTGTGTCACCTACAAGCCGGTGCTCTGAATATGATTCATCCATAGGCGGAGTTGCGGGGGTGAAAATGACAACACATTGCAAATTAGTGAGATAATTCGATATGAAAATGATCGGGTTGTGTTCCTACCAGATATTCACATTATTTCTTTTGATATATATTTTCAAGGAAACAGTTCTTGGATACTCTAGGAGATTTTTACCGAATGGTTCACAAAAACGCTACACGTGTTTCAGAACAAAATTATCGTTGTTGTATTTTCCTGAACGGCTTTGTTAAAATATCACATTGGAGTCTTATTCATTAGTACCGGTTGTACATTCCTGAATTCTAGATTGCATGAAAAAAGCGCCAATGAGAGAGTACGAAGTGAAAT